CTTTCGCTGTTTGTATGAGGTGTGTTTGCTTAAAAGTGACGGTTGGGCACGAGCGATATCAACCATTGAGGCTGTCGGAAGAGTATACTGGCATAGGCGCCGATCACGACGCTGTAAAGCTAACCTGAGGAGGGTACTGGTTCCTGCATACCTGGGTTACTGTGAAACGGCGGGATGGCAGTAGTACTTGTGCATCTATCTCCGGATGATGTTGCTCAAGAGGGTAGTGGTTCGTGCCTACCAGGTCCACCGTGGGACTGCGCGGCTGTAGCTGTGCTTGCATGCATGTCGGGTGAAAGTGTTGAAAATATGCGTGTGTGGCAATAATCTTTGCGAAGATCCTTATAGTCTACTGGTGCAGGCGAATACGACGCTGAGAATAAAAAGATTTAATCTAAAGAGACTGCGGGTTGGGGACCAGCAGAACTCCTAGAAGATGGAGGTACGGGTTCGGAGATTTCGCGTGCGATCGGACTTTCTGCCAGACCAAGCAGCTAAAAAAAGCAGATTTAGCGACTTGCTTGTGGCGTTGCGATAATTGCGAGACGAGCGGAGTTGAGAGGTTTTTCACGAATATACGCGGTACGAGCGCAGGCAAAGCGAAATAGATGGATGTCCGTAGCACGACATAGAATGTATATTGGTTAGGAGGACACGGATGGGGAGACCATCAATGAGATAATTAAACTTGTCTTGAGATGTTACTATCTTACGCAATCGCATTTCCTAATCAAGGCGACGCAGCCACTATGCAGATGGTTGTGACGGCGAGACGCCACTGAAGCGGAGTAATCACGACAGGCGGTGAGTAAGGCTTCCGGTGTTGCGTCCTTCGGTTCCTTAACGTCCCGGCCTGACTGTCACAGGGTTCATGAGCACCTGAAATATGAACACGCTTAAAAAATAATGGCAAAAGCGAAACATCTAAAATTACAGGTGGCTGATATGCAATTAGTAACCAAACAACAAAAGTAAATTGCGAGAAAAGTAATGTGTGCTGGAATGCGTATCTTACATAGAGGAAGAAGAGATAACATGAAATGCAAACATTTCTCAAAACAGAACTGACGATCCCTTATGTAGCGAAGAGAATATGCGGGAAGGTTGTCGATGGCACGCAGAGAGCGCGATCTTGGTATCCAACAACATGTAAAGCCGAGCATGAGAAAGGTTTGGTTGCGCTTTCGTTTTGTTTGGGATGTTTTTCGTAGTGATGAGAAGATCGAAATTCGTGGTTACGCTTTATACAGACTAGGAGCACCCTTCCGATGGGTGACGGAAAAAGGGTTGTTGGAAATTGTGCCTTGTTGCGGATAGTCTTCAATCGCGGGTGTCGTCAGTAAACAGAAGATTGGCAGCTGCTGTTGTGTGCATTGCTTGTAGGTGTTGTGAGGCCGTATGTGGTCGTGGTCGAAAATTTAACGAAAAACTCATCGTAATGAGGATCGCCTCTATCACAGCCAGCCGGTACATTGAAATGGAAGGAGATAAAAGTGTTATTCAAAAATACAGATAAGGTAGAGAAAAGTGTTATTCAAAAATACAGATAAGGTAGAGGGGTCAAGAAACAGGAAGGGAATTTAGCAGTGTTAAATCGGTTGGCGAAATGAATAAAACAAGTAGAAAATACCAATAAAGCTGTTTCAGATAAGCTTCATGGTAAGAGTATACGGGCAGGGAGCCCATCAGGGCCAAAGTAAGAGAACTCACTGAAAGAAGACTGCCATCGGCGATGCTGTCGTATCTTTACGCGATCTGCAATGTTGTCATCCTATGTTGGCTATGTTTACATTCGATTGGGCTTACGCGAACGTGGCGGGCAGGCTGCTCATGTTTGAGAAAACATACTAGAGGGGAGTTAAGAGTGTTCTTACAAATGGAGGGGGGCTGTATAAATTGAGAGCAAACAAACCTTCAATAAATATGTCAAGTGTCTACGGAGTGGGACGCGAGCACGCGTATTAGCAAAAGACATAAAAAAATTACCCGAAAAGAATAAAACTAAGCTCGAGCTACAAATTTGGGGCTACCCAGCATAAAACTGCTGGAACGACATGCGGACAAAACATACCTTTGCACTTACCTGCCCAGCTGCGCTTCACTGCGCTACACTTCACTCTCATGGGCGAACGCCGGAGCCCTGTACACCAGAACATCACTTTGCTAAATAATACAAAAAAAGGTCCGCATTTCAACTATCCCTGCAGGGGAATGCACTTTTCATCACTCACTTCACTGCCGGCTCCGCTGGGCTCACATCACTTTAACGCTTATCTAAACTACGGGTGGCGTTCTATCACTTTCTGCGCGCTAAAAAAGTAAGAAAAAGGAAAACGTTTTCGAAATTTGCGAAAAATGAAGAATTCGCAAGACCTTGGCGCCTTAGGTCCTACGGAAGAAAGAACTTGAAAACGAATATCCTTTTTCGAAAAGTTTTTTTTGTTTTTTTCTTTTTTTTAAGTCCTTCAGACCTTGGGTGGTATTGCTCCTTGGCTCACAGCCCACAAGGCCGCCAAGATGACCAGTCTTGGCTCGAACACATAGGAGTCTTCCGACCTTAAGCGATATCGCCCGCTTTGGCTCACGACCCCAATGGGGTCGGACTAAAATCTACAAGTCTGGTGAACAAGAAAACATCGGAAACAAATTCCCGGAACTACGAGGCTACTGGCAGGGGGACCATCAGGTCCAATGGAAAAAAACTCACCGTTTCCTTGAAGCGGAGACACTCGCTGCTACCAGTAAGCGTAGCGCCGTGGAAGCGTGTGATCCAACAGCAACAAATATAAGAGCGAGTATCAGGTTTATCGGTACATCACATAGAGGGTACATCAGGAATAGTAACATGATAGATCACAATGGTAATCCATGGCGTAGGTCGGTGGAGGACACAGATGGAGGTCCGCATCAGCGGGAGACGGTGAGCACGGTCGGGTCCGGCCGTCCAGTGGCTTGCCAGGTGGGAAGACTCCCTGTGGTGGTGGACTAGTCGGCTTGTGATTGTGGTGGTAGATTATATACCATAGCGTGGACTGCATATCATCCTCATATCTGTAACAATTGATCTCATTCTCATAACATACTTTGTCTTTATCTAAGCTTTATATCTTGTTCTCACAACATAGCTTCTCGCTTGCACATCTTCATGCGCCTATGCTTACAGAATACAATATTGGTTTTCAGGATTGTCGATTACTTTTATCGATTTTATCGATTTTTTTTGCAAAGTTTGAGCTACGGGGCTGGGAGTTCGCACAGGGGGGTAATCGAGCATGTGGATTTCGAATACAATATTGGTTTTCGGGATTATCGATTACTTCAAGATCGTCCGTAATGGACGATCTTGAAAACTAATATTGTATTCGTAATCTGCATGCTCGATTACCCCCCTGTGCAAACTCCCAGCCCCGCAGGTCAAACTTTACAAAAAAAATCGATAAAGTCGATAAAAGTAATGGACGATCCTGAAAACTAATATTGTGTTCGTAATCAGCATGCTCGATTACCCCCCTGTGCAAAATCCCAGCCTCGCATGTCAAAATTTACAAAAAATCGATAAAATCAATAAAAGTAATCGATAATTCTGAAAACTAATATTGTATTCGGAATCCCCATGCTCACTTCCCCCCCTGTGCCAACTCCTAGCCCTATAGGTGAACTCTGCAAAAAAATCGATAAAAATCGGTAAAATCGACATCGATCGATAACGAAAAGTGGACTGTGACACCCGCCGGGGCCCGAAGTGTATGTGTGCCAAGTTTGGTCCGGATACGGCGGAGCCGGGTAAGCCAGCTAGTTTATTATGATTATGACTCAGATTGCCATTGTTTTTCATTTATTTATTTATTTGTTAATGCACAAGAAGTGCGCCTATCATAAAACAGCAGAAAAAGTAAGTAATAGTCAGTAGTTAAAAAGAAGAAAAACACTAAATTTAGACAGGAATTTGAGAACTAATTTTTGACAGTTGAAAAATTCTTAGCTTGGATAAAGACCGGCTTTAGTGCACCATTGTGGGTAAGCATTTGCCATGAAGCTTTTTTGCGGAGTGCACTTTTTAGATCATTTTGAATGCTAAATTCTTATTAACATCGCTGTCCAAGAGTTAGCCCCCAAGGAAAGGGGGTACATGCTAGGAGGCTCGATATTTAATGCCATGAACACCAAAAAAAAACACACATATCGTGTTTTATAACGCTCTAGAAGCATCTCAAGACTTCAGAAGGATATATCAGATAGTATCATGTGCTGTTCAGTGTTCTAACCTCGAAATAGGTTACTAACAAAAGATGGTCAAAAGCTAATGAAATTGCAAACAACACTAGAATTTCATTTATTTCGGTCTATTTTACAGCAAAAGCCGTCAAACGCAGCTAGAAGGTAGCTTTGAGCAGAGCTAATAAGCCACTTGACTAATATTGAAGGTTTTTTTTTGAAGGGAGAGGGGTGGAACAAAAATAGAAATACAAAAACAAAAATACAAAAATATGGATAATACGATTTGCCAATGAATTTAAATTGGTGTATTCGTAGGTGACATTGAATATCCGGATTTAATTAGTGGAAAGAATCGTCTGATTGAAATTAGTCCACATCGAGAAGTACCGCACCCCATCGGATCCCATGAATTCACCAGGCGAATTTACCAACGGCGTGAACTTAAAGGAGCTTCAAAATGACGGGTGAAAACTCAATTTAAAATGTCACCGTGACGGATGACATCAGCTGGGCTCCCGCAACAAGATCGAGGTGAGTTTTTATCGAATATTGTACGTCTTCTGCTCTCGGCACATGCCTCCCGAACTCGCGCTCTCACTCTCAGTCAGCGTTGCTTCATTGATCGTCGCCCCTCCAACCACACCCTGCTCTCTACCAAGCTCCACATCCACACATAGACTACATCTCAATGCCATTCTGAGTTAGAACTACGTCAATCTGCTGCGAAACTTCGGTCTGAACAGATTCCCGTTATTTTACAGTACTCGCTTACCTAAGCAGTCATGGAAAATTCCGCCGGAGAACGAACAGTAACGCTGTTCGGGCGAGTTTTCCCGAAAGATGCCTTCATCTGTCGATTATTTTATCTTGCATTTTTCGCTTCTTTTGGATCGCTTTTCCCACTTTTGGCTGTATATTTCAAACAGCTGGGAATGACGGCAGCACAGGTGAGCGCAAATGCAGTTTATTGGATTTTTTATGGATTTTTATTGCAAATTGCAAGCTCTCGCATGTTGCGAGTTAATGGCAGGAGCTGATGGGTTTAGCCATAGCATTTCCATTTTGAGCAAAAAATTGAATATATACTGACTCATACCTCCGAAATCTCATCGTCACTCTATGGCTATCTCCATCTACTATCATAGTAGCTTTTAACATCTTCGAATTAAAAAAAAAGAAGTTTTGCACCAGACGCTTTGCACTGAGGATATGAAAATATCATTTTGGTTCATAGTCTCTTTCTTACTCACCTATTTCTTGTGCAAAAACGAAATTCACTGTGCAGCTAGCTTAATGGCCAAATGCAAGAAAATTCAGGTTCAGGTCAATTTCAGCTCGAATTGTCATGTCCAATTGTTTTCGATGATTTCACAGCAGGATGTGATTTTTTAGACTGGAATGCTTCTTGGATGTCGACCATTAGTAGAGTTTGCGTCAGGGCCATTTTGGAGTTCGTTCGCAAATCGCTTCAGGTAATGTCGATGTTCTAAATCGAACTTTTTCTATACAAAACATTATGGTTACCACTAGTTTCTGTTCTTGATTACATATGGTAACGCAAGAGTTCCGATTTTTTTCTGATTTAAAAGATGAACCCATTCACATCAATAATACTCACTACATTTGCACTTATATCCCTTACTATCTATCGTTTCTATCTATACTGTTCGAGGCAAATGTCATACAAACGCTCATGAATTTTTAAAGATCATTTTCCAATAAAGCATTCGTCTTTGAATCAACAACAGGGGTCTTGAGGTGATTTGAGTGTTTACTTCTGCTTGAAATCTTGGAAAAAATTCCTCATTGGCAGAAATAGTATAACTGGAAGAAGGATTTCTATATAGAATCTTGTATAATGATGTCAGATTTGTTCTTCATCACTGCATTCTTCTTTTAGCTTTAATTACTAGTAAACAAGGCTCATCGCAATGAGTCTCTTGCATGTTGTTTTGAAGCCGTGCAGTAGTCGAGACTAATAGGCGAAAGCAGCATCGGATGAAAAGCGAGAAGGCACCCGGGCTTGAAGCTGCTATAGAAAAATGCTGTTGAGGCTTAGGGCTTCAACAGCATCCAATAAATTTTGAAAAAAATTTATTGCATTTTTTGTTAAAATGGTAATAAATAGTAAGAGCGTCGTTTTAAATCAGTATATTTTTTTTCAAATCACTAAGGAAGCGGGCTCTCACCAAGTAGAACTACATCACGAACCTCACTGACCATAAAATCTTTGAGTGTGTCATGTTTAATCTGCTTTTCACTTTTTTCATTCTTCAAAAGCTACTCCAAGCATCAGTTTTTAACGCCTTTTTTGCATACGAATGTAATTACATTTGTAATAGCGCTACAAATCTAATTAAGGACCACGAGAGCAATAACTCATTAGCTACTTCATGCTTTAGCCTTGGTCATATGAGACGTTCTCAAGCAGGGAAAATGCAAGAATAATGGAAGCTTGTTAATGAGTAGTATTATTATTGGATACTACTAAATAACAAGCTTCCATTATTCTTGAGTGATGGGAGTAACTCAAAATTAGATTTGTGGCCGCTCAAAGTTTCACATTAAAGGGCAATTCGAAGAAAGTTATTTATTGAAAAGGATTATCAAATTATTTAAAAAAATTTTATACTCTAATGAAGTGGAAAATGCGTTTTTTCACGTTCCTTTTTTTCATGATGCAGTTTTTCATTGTTATGAAGGTATCCAGGTCTGGAACTGAAAGTGTTTGATTATGTTTTTACCCTATGTAATCCTGTCTTCCTACACAACTTTTGAATGACTCTCTGTCAAGTAATACTAAATTTAAGGAGATAAATTCACATAATTCAATAAAATCATAGAAATTCCAGACGTCTTATAATTAGAAGAAAAAAAGAACAGAAGGAATTGAAGGTATTTCAACGAAAGAACGAGATTTCCTATAAATCGTGATTCTGAGCTTGACAATCTCTACTCATGAGGTTAGGAATGACAAAAACTCGAACCAAAACATGTGTTATAGGAGTATAGAGTAGAAGAGAAGTGACTGACAAGAATGGCTTACATCTTTAGTAATATCTGAATTAGAGAATCAATATGGAAACGTGGATTACAAATTTGTTTTTGGTTACCTAAGCTATTCTGTTCTTCTTATTTATCTGATTTGTTGTATATTTTCATAATGATAATGATACAGAACAAGTAAAGTTACTTAGGAAGGAAAAACGCGTACGCTTCGATCTTTTCTCTGCAAATTCACTGTCTTTCAGGAAAGAGAAGCTACTTCTTTTATTCTCTCTCGGCTCACTTATTGTATTCACACTAGCTGTTGGCTTCGTACAGCCTAACACACCGTACTGTGTAGTGCTCGTGCCAGGTAATTTGATATATCTATTATAAAGCTTCCGCATAAAATCCATCTGTTTTTAGAAGCAAATACGTCATGCCAAATGGTGCTGGTTCCGGCTGGCAAGGTAGTCAAAGGTGGAGCTTTGGGAATGCTCAAAGAAGCAGTTGTTGGGGTTGGAAGGACGAGAAGACGAGCAGACGTGCAGAATCGTGAGCAGTCTGAGCTGTTGCAAGACTTTTGAGAATATGGCTGATATTTAGAATTGATTGAAAAGATAATCGATTTGAGCTCCTTTGACAATGAAGAGGATACGGTGGTCGGTATTGCGCCAGAGTTCATAACTAGGGAACAGGTATGTGTAGACATTGAACAATTCAGATGTTGCTTTGTTTACTTCTTTATTGCACATTTTTACCCACCCTTCTCTCCCTCTCCCATAACTCTTTCTTTCCTTCTCCCATACACTCTCTCCGTCCCCATTATCTCTTCTATTCTTTGGCTTTTACAACCTTTTAAAGTCTACCACACCGTCCAAGTAACCCTCTCTGCACCCACGGAATTTTCATGGGGGGGGGGGGGGGGTGGGGGGCAACAAATATGTTTGTATTCAGTAACATTTCTTTTATAGGAAACTAGCATTAGCGCTTACCAGAAATTTTTTGAAAAATTTCAATTCGTACATAATTTTTTCAAGGCTATTTCAACGATTACGAATGACAGTCTCTGCATACGCTCATTATTCATGCAAATTATGTATCTCATTTTTGCAACACATTGCTGCGAAATTAGTAATGGTCCAAGGAGCTATATTCTGAGGAATTTTTGAATTTTTCTATCCTCCTCAGCTTTCACTGGCATTACAAAGAAACAAATATATACTGGATCAAGACGGAAAATTCAAGGAAGACTCGTGAATCTGTTACAGTAAGAGTACAGTAATCACACTTCAGAATTCGTTCGCCATCTGATTAACTTTCACTAACCATAATTTTCCCCTGCTCTCCGATTATGTCCGAAAAATTCCTCGTATCTCATCTTCTGCTTGCCATACCTTCTGGTTCATGCTACACCTATCGGAACTCCGTAACTCATTATTGCCTATCACCTATTATCGTGTCTCCTTTCCAAAGAAGCTGAAAAATTTGAAAAATTTCCCACAAGTCATCTATTGCTTCTTTTCTTGATTTTTACCCTGTACTCTCTTTCATTCCGCTTCGGCAACAACTAATAAGCACTTTCCTTCACCTTTCCATCGATCTTCTACATTCCCATGCTAATCCGTCAGGTTGAGTAGGCAGCAATTTTCGCCATAGCTCGTCTCTTTCACTCCTCGAATCGATGCTAACCTCCCCCTCACTCACCTTTGGCCAAAAATCGACCCCCAAACGTTATTTGCATTGGTTAGCTGGAGCGCATTGACAGGATGTGTGAAAAAGCAACAACTCGCATGGCAATGAATTACTAATGCCATCGATGCTGGGGTCACAAGGGCGTGGATTTTTTTGGAAGGTCGAAAAAAGTATATAAAATTAGCCATTCCTTCGAGTCAATATAGCCATGCTTGAAACATCATAGAGCCCAGCTGATGTAAGCGCCACAAAAAAATTTCTCATCTAACTCTTTTTTGGAAAATTACACAGAAGCTAGGAAGCTTACTTGCAGCAAGTATGCATGTCTATTTTGGGCCTGAATGATGTAAAACTCAGTCATAGTCTACTGCGACTAATTAATCCTGTTCTTAGGCAAATATACCATTGTGGGCAAAAACCTAGGCTTTGAAACTTTGATCAGGTGATAAAAACGCATAGCATCATAACGCTGGCTATAAATAAATGTCTCTTGCAGCTTTTTGAAATCTCCTTGGCGATGAGAGACCAGAAATAAACGTTGCTCTATTAATAGTGGAAAACTTACACTTAACAAATTTTTAATGTTTATGTTGGAAACATAGAATTATGTAAAGTGAAAGAAATTATTATGACTGCTACAAAGTATTTAGAAAATTTCTGGCCTAACTTCCAGTTCATCAAGCCAAAAATCATCACTTCAGCAAAAATTATATTTTTCTATGGATTCTTAGATATTAGGTTGGACCACACTTAATGTAGCAACTCATGCTTGTTTCTTTGAAAAATGCATGTTACAAAGGGGAAAAAATTTTTGTGCGAAATTTCGTAAATCAGCTGAAAGCTTATAATTTCTTAACACGTTTCGGACCGCGAAATCGCGCGCGGCGAAAAAGAGTGCACTTTCGGCCGTTAGCCAGCAAAGGAACCTTATTTCGCAGACTGTGGACTACGTCTGTAATCAACATGCCGGATAAGCTCCATACCAAAAGTTCTGGGTGAATTCGAAGCATTTGAATTTTGTCGCCTGAGAGGGACTTTTGTGCTTTCTTGAAAGATGGGAGCAAGAACTCAGTTTCAAATAGTATCTTTAAGTATCTATGTTGTACACTGTACTCGTCATTATTGAAATTACGGTTTATCTCTTTGAAATCGGAGCAAAGAAGAGTTGCGACGTCGCACGCGTCGTTCGCGTTGCCGCACTTCGTTGCAACTGTTGCCCGATTTGTCCTTATATCTCGTAAACAAATATCGGCGGCACAGCTTTACAGAGTCATTTGAAAAGTAGGAGCTTAGACCTTTGACTCAGGAACTTCGGACTTAAAGAAAACCTCCTGCAAACGTCGGAAAGAACCTTCAAAGCAGCGTGCTGCACCATGTGCAGCACCGGTCCGAAACGTGTTAATGTGCTTTCTTTTTATAAAAGTTTTTCATTTTAAGTTACCGTGCTTCAAAAGGCAAGAGATTCAATCCCAAAACTTTTCTCTCGATAAATCGCTCCAAATTTATTTTTCTTCTTCAAAATTTTAAAAGCATGCAACAACTTCGAAATCTTGCACAGTAGGCAGAAAGTTATGCTACAAAAGCACATCAAAACAAGTCCAAAAACTTTCGAGCTAAAAAAATCTCAATGTAAAACTGCACGACTGTTTACTGTACTTTCGCAGTGTAAAAAACCTTCAAGCTGGCAAGCTGTTACGAGATTTTGTTAAGTGTGGACTTGGGACTTTTGATGGTAGGAAAAAACAAAGTTTTTTCCGTTTTCCAGCGTTGAAAAAGCAGAACATCGCAGTTTCTTTAAGTTTAACGAGCACATATCGCAAAAAGCGAGCGAGAATTTACAGTTGTAGTATTTAATTGAGGCCAGAAACCTTCCAAACACCCTGTATATGCGTCGAAATGATTATTTTCATCGCATATAAATTTTCACTTTACTCGCTTTCTCTGTGCTTTGGTAATCCTGAGAACATTTGCAATACAGAATAGAATTATTTAAGACTGATAAAAAGAATTTTTGTTGGTTTAGTAGCTGAACTACCCGTGATTACTGCAGCTCATTCCCATCAAGGCTAAGTTCTATCAACAACCACCACGACGGCGCTGAAAAATATTTACTAGGTTAAACAACTACGTAATCTGCTTATTTTCACTGTAACTAAATATATTCGTTCAAAAACGCAGCATTGCAATTTCCTCGCTTGACTATGAGAAGAAACCTTTGCTAAGTAGCAAATCTGCACCGTTTTTTACTACAAGCTTGCTCTCATAATCGGATATAATCTTTGCAAAAGTGAAAAAACAACCATGTGACGCTACTTGCTAATTCGATCAAAGCATAATCACATACATTACAAAACTTAGTTTTGAACAGAACTCATAGCAGCGGCACAACGACTGCATAGAGATGCGTTAAGTGTTATGAAACGTTCCGTCTCTTCTATCCTAGCATTTGAATTTTGTCGATTTTAAGTAGTTTTTGAGTTTATAAAATTCACTGATGACATTCCGTGGAATTTTTTTCAATCGTGGTTTATTCTGAATACCATTTGCGTAAATCAGACTTTTACGATAGTAAGGATTGAGCGATGGCGGCTCTAAAAACTGCAAAATGTTTGCCATTAAATTTCAATCTTGAAGAGCTCAATTTTGGGGTAGTCCAGATCGCTTGGATTTGACCTCTATGGCCATACAAACGCTTGGAAATACCAAAATCGTATGTGTGCGTGCCATTCATGCACGTGCACCTAATTTTAGTTTTTTGGAGCTTGGTTTTTCGGAAATCTGACGAAGCCACGCCGTCATAGAAATTTTTGAGTCAAGAGCTGACCTTCCAATTTTCCTTGATTTACTCTTTCCAATGATACCATACATTCATACGTAAATTTATCTTTGACATTTCTACATACCGTTAAAAAAGACCGAAATTATTTTTTAGCTTACTCAATAATATCATTACTTTTCAGTTTCGCTTTCGCTTTACCTTCTCAATTGATTTGTGATATAATTTGTGCTTTTCCTCTTGAGCCAATCTATTCATCCTTTCAGTATCATACGCTACGTCATTGTGTAAAAATGATTTTTCTTTAGGTTTGCAACTATGACGAAAATGAGTACGGCGTTTTGGTATCTCCACCACATTCGACACGAGTCTATCGACAGCCAGCTGTTGAGCAGGTGAGTAACTTTTAGTTTTTCAATTTTCGTACCATTTCATAATCCTTTCCAGGCTTTTATGCTTCTTCTGCTTCTCATTGCACTTGGTGAGTTCTTTTCGTCACCAGCACTTCCACTAGCTGATGCTGCTACGCTAAACGCCACAAAGGACAATCCTCAAGAGGTGAGCCATTAGCTGAAGTGATGACAAGTGCTCTCTTTGAATAACGAATATACTGAAAATGTTTTCGAAAAATTTTGATCCGTGAAATTTTCTGAGAGCTACGTTTATAATAATGCTTCTGTGAAACATTTGAGTTTGACAGTTCTTTTTCCAGTTTAATTATTTTTGCAAGGCCACATATTTCAAGGTGTTTGTGGGCTCGTAATTTCTTAGGCTCAAATGGGGAAAAGGGTTTCTATATCTCTTAAAGGCAGTGTTCAGGCTAAATTTAACCTACTCCGATTTTTGCCGATTTGCATATAGTCCCTAGGAGACAGTGACGGTCGCCCCCCCCCCCCCCCACACGAGAATGGGTCGCGAAATTTTTGAAAGTTACTTACATGAGTTATAAAAAATGTGCAAGTGACCTGTTTATTTTTGTAAACAATTAAAATAATTTTTGATATCTTTAAAAATTCAAGTTAGCCTTATAAAAATTTTTTTTTCGCCCCCTTTTTCCAGATTTTAGGTGTTGAAGGCCTGCAAAAATTTTGAGAAGCCCCCCCCCCTAACATCCGCGTTGGTCCGGCCCTTTCATGTTGTCTTTAAATGGAGCTAATGGACCTGGAACACCAAAAGTGCTATCAAGCCCCGCCCAGAATCTATCAAGCTCCGCCCATCCATGTACTGAAAGCCGTCCGCGCCCTCCAAACAGGGTCCTCAGGAATCGGGTTTTTGGGGTCTAGGACAATTTGAATCATAACTGTAATCAAAGCCACATAAAGGCCTCAGAACAGCAAAAACAGGGAAGGTAAAATTTTCTGTGGACGCTGCCTTTAACCAGGCTTGTTTACCATATTCGGCAGATCGTTGTGCTGTCTTACTCGTTCTTTCATATTCAAGCTCGAGCAGACGGCTTAGCTACTTGTTCACCACAAAATCCAAACTTCCAAGCAAATTTACAAAGTAGTTGAGAACTGATAAAATAATTTTAGTAAACACCTTATTCAAGATTTCTCTGCTGCCCATTATGTGAACGCTCTGTTTCGCACTATTTCTTAAACTCTAAAATTACATTTTCAGTTTGGAAAAATTCGTTTGTTTGCGTCCGTCGGATGGGGATTGGCTATGTTCGTTATGGGAATTGGTGAGTATGCAATTTCACTTCGCGCCGTTAATTGAATGACGTTGACGTCCATCACGTCATTTATGAGCTCGTCTGCTAGCGAAAAAGTTCGTCAAAGTGAGAGATGAAAAGGATTTTGTTGCTCGGATATTTTCGCCTTTTTCGTTTCTTCATTAATCAAATTTATTACTTAGCAAAAACATTATGTCAATACACTTCTGCTCTGCATGCTTTGAAACTATATTAGAAATTTCTCGACGTTTTCAGATCCGAAACCTTTAGATGCAAATTTACATGGATATGTAAAGATCCCGTGACCTATGCGTAACAGAACTAGCGTAAAATTTTCTCCTCCATGTTGCAAACCATCTCTAAAATATTCGAAGGATTTTTCATAAGGATATTTTTATGCTCACTCTTTGGGCTAAATATCACACTCAGTTTTGATATTACAATTAGCAGTACATATTCACAATATTTTGCGACTGTTTTCATTACTTGGGCTAGCTTTTGGCTTTACATTGTTACATTAGAAGTGACATTACTGCATTGCTTGATCGTTGAACCTTAATTCTATTAGGCTACTAAATAATTGCGGTTGTTTTTGCGGCTCCTACAAATGCCGCAGGCAATTTTTTGTCCACTAATCGGTACATCTGGAAAGAGCACTCTAATGAGAATAGGAAGGTAAAATCCGTCTGAATAGAGTTCACTTCGCAATGGAAGAAATCCGCAAAAAAGTGAGAAAACCAATTCCACCCTGTGTGCAAATGTGAAAATATTTAGTTTTTCTTATCTAAAGATTTTGAAATGGCAGATCACAACTTTCATTGGTAGTCGCTGTGTAGGGAAAACTTGTCTGTATCCAAATACCATGCTGTTCTCTACATCCTTAGAGAATGAAGACGAAGCTTGAAAAATTGCAGAACTGAGCTTTTGGAATTTTAGCATGTTGGGGCACATTGCCCCTTAATTTTGAATAGTTTCTGTATGGTAAAATAAAGCTTTGAACTACGTATTTGCAAAAAAATCTATATTAAAAAATAAAAAATATTTACAAAAATATTATATAAAATATTTACAAAAAAATGGATGAAGAAACAACTAGGAAAGTCTTTATGAAAATTTTCATGCCGAAACGAAATTATTTTTTTCCAACCATAGTAACAAATGTAGATGTGCAATGGCTTGAAATTTGAAATAAAACAGTTTATAATTGTCATTAATTTCGTTAGCCCTTTAGTCACTAGTCTGGGTCCCCCCTCCCCCCCCACGTGAGGAGGTCTATGTGAGGTTCCATCTCATATGTCCATGAGGCAAAAAAATTAATGCAAAAGAGCGTAGAAGCCGATTCCATTAATGCATTCTTCAAAACGAATTGATGAGCACATTATGAAAAAAAAGGAAGAAGGCGATACAAGGCAGCAAACCCTGATTTTTGTTTTTTACGTCTTGCTCACTGATTTTTCAAACTGAACTTTCCCTGTACCTGATCAACGCCCATCAGTGCTGATTTCTTTTACAGGACTTGACTACTCGGATACCTTCCGCAATCATCCATGTCCAACAAGCAACACGACAGAAAAGAACTATACGCTATGCTTCGTGATGTGCAGTATATTTATGTGCGCGGGCATGTTGTTAGGTAAGATTTTTCAGCGTAAATAAGCCGATTTTCTGCCGAGAATTCCAAATGACTGATTTCCAGCCACTCAGTTCAAGTTCGGTGAAGAAATTGCTCGGCCGAATGAAGTAGGCGGTCTAGTGATGGACACTCGCGAATCAGAGGTTTCACACGTGGTTGCTGAGAAAGCCAGAGCTCGGCAAGTACAGGCGGGTCTTTCGATTTGAGAAATATGGTGAAAAAAGTTTTTGTCGTCAAGTTTGTTATTGTAATATGGGCGATTGTTACTTACAAAATGTCAATATTATACTGGTACAAGTTCTGAAGCGGTTATAACAGCTTGAAAGGCGAAAGGCTTACCCTATCTATAGTATATCTTTACATATTTGCATTTTCAAGATTCTTTTCTCAACAAATATTCTCTTCATACGCCATACATTTGAGTTCTATTTCAGACAGGTGGCGCTTCTGAAAGTACATTATGGATGACAGTAAAAGCTCTGGCCAATACGCACATGATCATCTACATGACATCGGTTACGGTAATGGGTTTCGGTGCTGGCATCATATTCACATTTCTCTACTGGCATTTGCAGGTGAGTATTCCTGCTTAGAAATCATTTTAAGCTCAAAATATAAGCTGGTAAATTTAGGATCTCGGAGGTTCTCCGGTGCTGTTTGGTACTCTTTCTGTTGTAAATCATGCGTCAGAGATTGCCGCATACTTCTTTACTTTTCAAATTATTAACAAATTTGGGCATGTTCAGGTAGGCGCAGAATAATTCGCTAATAACAATATTTGAGTGTGTTCAAAGTTTACGTTATTCTTGTAGGTCATGTACATCTGCCTTGCGGCCAATGTTGTTCGGTTTTTGATATTGAGTTGGCTCGACAACCCATGGATGGTGCTACCATTACAAATTATACAAGGTAGGTATTTTGAAAGTAACGGCTTGTTAGCAAATTTTGTTCGAAAAAATTTTGTTTTTTCGTGTTTCCCATTCTTTTACATATATTTCTTCCGACATTTGCATATTTTCGATATCAGGGCAGTAAATCACACTTTTATGGCAAACTGTTGTTTTTCCTAGAGAATTTTTAGACATATCTTATATATAAAGCTGAATGTCTGTTTGTATGTCTGTATGTCTGTATGTATGTCTGTATGTATGTCTGTCTGTCTGTCTGTACGTATGTTCCGAATAGAAAATTCCATATCTGAACCGATTGGGACCAAACTTGGCACACATGCACTTCGGGCCCCGGCGGGTGTCATCGGCTACTTTTCGTATCGATCGATATCGATTTTATCGATTTTTGGAAAATTTGAGCTACGGGGCTGGGAGTTGGCACAGGGGGGTAAGTGAGCATGGGAATTTCGAATACAATATTAGTTTTTAAAATCGTGCATTACTTTTATCGATTTTATCGATTTTTTTGCAAAGTTTGAGCTACGGAGCTGGGATTTGGCACAGGGGGGGGGGGTAATCGAGCATGCTGATCATCCCCGTGGGGGTGATCAGCATGCTCGATTACACCCCTCTGCCAAATTCCAGCCCCCTAGCTCAAATTTTGCGAAAAATCGATAAAATCGATAAAAGTAATGCACGGTTCGAAAACTAATATTGTATTCGTAATCGGCATGCTCCCTCAAACTAATTTGAGCTACGTGGCTGGGAGTTGGCAGAGGGGATTACACCCCTCTGCCAACTCCCAGCCACGTAGCTCAAATTTTGCAAAAAATCGATGAAATCGACATCGATCGATAACGAAAAGTGGACTGTGACACCCGCCGGGGCCCGAAGGGTATGTGTGCCAAGTTTGGTCCGGATCGGTTAAGAAATGGAATTTTCTATTCGGAACATACGGCGGAGCCGGGTAAGCCAGCTAGTATATCATATTAGAGTAGGAAATTTATACCGCAGGGAGTACAGCTTTGCAACTTAAAATAAAATTGAAATTAGAAAAAAAACGTATTATTGTAAAGTTGGCAGGCTGAAATGAAAATTCTTCTTCTGTAATTTTCCTGAGAAAAGATGTTAAACAGTGTGTTTTAGGATTCACATTAGCAACAGTATGGGCGTCCGCATCATCCTACATCTCCTTAATTGCGCCGCCGAACATCAAATCGTCAGCGCAATATATCCTGCAGCTACTTTACCACGGTGTTGGTAAAGGTATCGGCAGTATCGCTAGCGGTACAATCATATCTGTCATAGGTAAGCCTAACATCACTTCCAAAAAGTTTTGTTGTCGAATCTCTATCCCAAGCTGACTTTTTTAGGAACAAGAGCAACATTCATACTCTACGCTTTAATGTGCGCAGTTATGTGCGGTGGAGGATTTGCACTGAATAAATTATTTAAATACGAGGGCATCAAGTATGGAGCTGGAATGTTCGAGGAGGACGAAATGGACATGATGGGTAAGCTTGAAGCAAGAACATAAATGCGGAGGTTTTTCAAAATTAGCAAATAAATGTATTGATGACGTATAGGGAATCTATAAGAAAATAATTTCTCCTCCCGTGGAGAAGTGATGAAAAGAGTAAAATAGATAAAAGCTCAAATAGCTTAATTCGTTCTTCAAATTGATTGTTATTGTGCAACTGCTTTTCAATTTTCTCTTCCTTTAGCGAAACAAAATCATTCATTCTTATTTGAGAAAATGTAACACTCTTTGACTTTATTTTTCTTCAGCACCACAAGGTCTTCCAATGGCACGAGATGGAAAGATCACAAATGCTTTCAACACCACTTCTGCAATGAATGCTAACTATGGATCAATCATGCAAGAAGACCCTACTCAAGATGCTTACGACAAATATGTAAGCGGTCAGTGACCGTAATCCGCTTAACGAATTCATAATCTCATTGGCATAAAGCCAAGAATTGTATAGGACACATTAATTATAGAGCAGCATAACACAAGCTTGATATTCGTGTTAGTTTGTATCATAGTACAATTGATTAGTGCAATCATAGATCAATAATGATATAATAATTATATTCACTTTATTCTCTCACGGTGATTTATGATCTCATATAAATTAGTGTGATGATTATTACTTATGAATAATGCTATTAATTATTGATTAGGCTTACACGATGTGATTAGTAACTTATTGATCTCGCGATGATCTAAAAGTGAGCAGGATCTCATTGCAGTTATGAAGTTTTTTTTTGCAATAAATTAATACAACCCATCTTTTTAGTATCATATTCAATGTTTACTATGTAAAAAACAGTTACCAAAATTAATTTATTCAAAATCACCTAATTCCGCAATTCCGATTGAAGAAAAGAGATTTATATCACCAATCTTCGAAGAGATCTCTTTCTCTTTGCATAGCTGGTTCTCCTTTGTCTTGTTCTAATTTTGGTAGTTCTTCAATTGCAAAAGGAGCCGGCACGAATGGAGGCTGCAAAGAATTTTCTGAAATATAATGCAGCTAAAAATTACTCCATTTATTACCTCAATTGCTTTATTCTCAACTTTGGTGAAGTCTATGTCAGCGTACCATTTGAGACTTGTAGCCGAAGATCGTTTTGATGGGTCTCGATTCAAAAGTGTTTCTACCACCTCTCTTATAAATTATCAAAGTTTCTGATTTCTCAAAAGAGATATTGAACTCTCTACCTCATTTCTTCATGAAACTTCGAAGGAATTTGTAAGTCTCCTTTTTTGATGAGGTCAAAAGTCTCCTCGTCATTTATGCCACAAAATGGCGGGCTTCCTGAGATCAGCTCATAGACCAGTGTGCCGAGAGACCACCTAAAGGGTTGCCTAGAACTGTTCTTTTAGACTTTTCAGCAGTTAATTACTTACCAGTCAACCTCTGCGTTGTAACCTTTCTTCAGTAAAATTTCGGGTGCCAAATACTCAGCGGTTCCACAAATAGTGTAGGTCCTGTATTTCGTGATGTTATTGATTGAAAGGGGAACATGGTGAAAATTTTACAGTATAAAAAATAGATCAAATCCCAAAGTATAGAATGATTCAGAGTATGAGAATATGAATCAGAAGGTACAAGAATAAATAGGGCTTTTGTAAAGAATTGTTTGGAACGTAAACGGTTGGCATTCAACTTTATTTTCGCCTGTTCTGCCGCAATCATCAGAGGCCTACAAAAATGTATTCGTTCGCTCACTTTCCTTTAAGAACTTTTGCTAGTCCGAAATCCGACAGTTTCACGTGCCCATCTTTCGATAAAAGCAGGTTTTCAGGTTTGAGATCACGATACACCTGAAAAAAACTACTTTATATCAAGAATTTCTCGACCATACCAGATTCAGATGTGGAAGCATTCACTCAAGCTTACCCAAACACTACAGTATAAAGTTCAGAAAAGACCGAGCTTCAAAGTAAACAAATAATGTTTTATCGGCAAAGGCTTTCTGATTTTATAGTAAGCAATGCTCCACGAAGTGCAATCTCAGTATTCTTGCATGGAAAATCCTTCATATTTCAAATTTTCTGTTGGCACTGTCCAATTTGAGCATTATGAGCTTTGAAGAAACAATAATGAAGGACATAAAGGAAAATTAATCGAGCAAATATTAGTAGGTGATTACGACCGGCGGATAATGATCACTTTCTTACATCTTCACATATAAAGCTGACGTGGGGGTATATTGAAATATTTTTCTGTCAGTCATCCATTGCCAGTCATACCCCACATATCACAGGCAATCAAATGTGATGGGACCCAAAAAACAGCTTTCAGCAAAATTCTTCGCAATACGTTACAAAGGCTGAGAGTTTGTGAGAAGTTCTGGAATTTTTTTAGCCGTATAATATCAATGGATTTGTAGAGACCAACGAGAGCAGCAAGGTTGTATTACTGGGGCGTACAAAGTGACTTGAACTTACAATATTTTTCGAATGCATATATCGAAAAGCGCAGATTACTTCCACAGAGTAAAAACGGACAGCATTGCAAAGATCTTCCCTTAATCAAGAATTTATTGAAAAACAAAGTTTGTATTACATATTTGTATAAGTAAGTTCACTTACTCACTCATATCAATGAGATAATCGCGAACTTCACCACCCTCTACACATTCCATAACGAGATATAAGTTTACTCTGTCCATATGAGTGCATATTCTGGAAATGTTAGATATTCTTGTTTCGCACTAAAACGAAAAGCTGTTTTAAACTTACAATTTGACTAAGAAGGGATGCTCGAGTGACTGTAATATACGCCTTTCATTATTGATATATTCATTTTGGGCTTGCTGGACAATCTGAAAGAGTCATGAAAAAAGTACATGTAAGGTAAAACCAGCTGTTTTCTCCACAGATTTAGAAAAGCAAGGTTTGAAGAAGTGAAAAAAATTTCCGCGATGTGTTTAGCAAGTAGGAGCTTTTAATCTGAATCTTCACAAATCTTATAAAACTAATAGTCAAACCAAGAGTTTACTATAAGAAGTAACGTATTATCTTTGATGGAAAAAAACTGACTTCGTGTATGTTGAATTTCTTCACAGCATAATACTGCTGGGCTGTTTTGCTGCATGCCAGGTCCACTCTACCAAATGATCCATAACCTATCAAACAAAAAGCTTAATCTCATGAAAAAAGGATTCAATTAACTATTAAAATACCAATAGTTGCATCGTAGCGAAGATCCAGCGCTTCATATGTACTCATTCTCGATCAATAAACGAAGAATGCATGGATAAGATGGCGGAGGTGAAAGTGAATTGTGTAAAGAGTGGCTGGCAGCAAGTTTGCAAAACTCACAATGTGTTCTTTGAGCGGCTCCGGCGAAGTCTGCGTGCAAGATTACGAAAATCGCACACTTGAAGTAATAATGCGCATAATGGATTTCATTGTAAATATACCAGCCGCTTTCTGCTCCTTCTTTTTTTTCGGCAGGTTCGGGTTTCTGCAAATATCCGCATTTTTGCATTATAGAGTAAAACGAGACATTGAAGAGCAGCGTTTTTACTCTATATTGCGGAAATGCGATTATTTGCAGAACATTTGCTATTTTGCACGAATTACTTCGATTTATGGACCTGCGCAGAAGAACACTGAGGACAAAATTTTGGCGACGTGTATGGATATGTTATGGCTCCCGTAGACTGCTCCGATATGTTGAAAGTTTCGAAGATTGATTTTGTAAGCTCACGGGACTCCTTTTTAAATTCTCTTTGATTGAACATCTGAAGGCATTCCTAAGAGAGGATGGTTGCCGAACACTTCAGTAGTGAGCAGGAAAGGATGGTCTTTGATTACGAATTAATAAATATATGGTTATTTTGGAAATATGAAATCTGGGAGACACTGAGGTTGAGTACGCTAGCCGACGAACATCGCACGACAAAATCTTGCTCCGCCGATCTTTGAAAAAATGGCATCAAACAGTATTAGGAACGAAAAAAGAACGATAACAGTACTTATAAGTGATAAATCTTATATTGTTTATAATTAACTTTGCTGAACAAAATTCGTCAATGACTGACGATTGCATCTAGAGAGATGAATGCCAAAAATGGGAGGTTTGAATATTCAGTTTTAGTTCTGAAGCTTGAAGAGAATCTATTTCAGATTTGTTGCAGTAATCAATGATAAAGGTGACTTGTAGAGGGGTGGAGGACATTAGGTCGCCGAATTTGGAAGAGTCCCGCGCGGATTCCCTGCAGGAACGCATGTCCGCGTACGTACAAGGGTGCGTATTTGTCGCAAATGACCGCGGGGACCGCCCTCTTTCGGCGACCTAATGTCCTCCACCCCTTGTAGAGCAGACGTGGAGCTTGGCAAGATGTTCTGACCCTCAAGAAGAGTGCTTTTCCGGTTTCTCCCACATAACAAACATGTTCCGTACAAGTCGTTCAAACGACTTGTACGGAGCAGGTTCTACGACAGATACTGTACCAAGAGTGCTTAGTTTTTCTCATGACAGCACCGGAGATTGCTCTAAAACGGGAGTGATATAACAGTTGGAGCGTTTAGTTTGTGGTGCTTGTTATATAGGAGAAACCGGAGGATCACTTGGCGTGAAGGTTAGAAAACCTTTTGCCGATAAACGTAAGGGTAGTCTAGTTTCTCCTCTCGGGGAACATAGGCATGAATATCACTGGGGTGGAGGACTATATGTCGCCGATTTTGGAAGAGTCCCGCGCGGATTCCCTGCAGGAACGCATGTCCGCGCACGTATAAGGGTGCGTATTTGTCGCAAATGACCGCGGGGACCGCCCTTTTTCGGCGACATATAGTCCTCCACCCATATCACTGCGATCAAGACTATGAAGTCAAACATACAACACCGACATACGAAAAAGATACCTCTGCAAAAAAGCTTTGAAGCATTTTGGATCACGCGCGAAAAACCGCCGCAAAGGCGCATTCGTCTTTCTCAACCTGCGCTTGTAAAACTCTAGATAGCCTAAGGTGAAGCACGTTGTGGGACAGACGTAAGGTCACTAATTCCGCACCGCTTTAGGTCTCTAAAGATGACGAATAGTGGAAACGTTAGGGGGGTGGGGGAGGGGGGGGGGGGCAGAGTTCACGCGATTTCATCGCGACAAGACAAGTGACACGAGTCCATTGCATTCCGATCATCTTACATTTCGGTTGTGAAGTTGCGCACGCTTAGTAGTGTTGGAAAACTATCACAACCAAAATGCAAAGAGATCGGTATGCTATTATTTTGTTACAGCTGTCTTACCGCGATAAATCAATGAAATCGCGTATACCCGAGGCTTTATGCCTAAACGGCCGAGCATACTTCACGCGATTTCAGACGCGACGCGATTTGGCAGTATTCCAACTGTCCATAACTCGCTGTAATCACATTTTAAGTGCACGGAAGACAGGGCATTTATCAATTCACGTAGCTTATACACACTGTGCACGTGCAGTTTGCTAGTGTTGAGTCTAAAGACTTCTGGCGAATTGCCAAATCGCGTCGCAACTGAAATCGCAAAGGGCCGGGCATACTTCAAGCGATTTCAATCGCGACGCGATTTGGCAATATTCCAGGTGCCCATAACTCATTGTAAGCACATTATAAATGTACAGAAGATAGGGCATTTCATCAGTTTACGTAAGTTATATACACTTTGCAAGTGCAGTTTGCTAATGTTGGATCCGAAGACTTCTGGCGAATTGCCAAATCGCGTCGCGACTGAAATCGCGTGAAATATGCCCGGCCCTTGAGGCATACCTCACACGATCCGGCCGAATCGCCACTTTCACGCAACTTGGCCAATTTGCCAGATTCTACAAATTGCGCGCTTCTCGGATGCATATTTGGGTACTCAGACAATCGATCGGACCCCTCCGCCGGACCCTCGGAAACTGCCAGGGTCGCGCCGGACCCAGTTGACCAATGAGAGAAGGGCAAATGGGCGGTCCATCGCGGTGGCATCACTGGCAGGCAAATGGGAGGCTTCTCCGGCCCTGCTGCAAAGGTCCGCCATTTCTCCGGCGCGACTCTGCCAGATTTGACGGACTCCGCGCCGCAGAGGTCTGCGCGGCGCGTGTCCGCCAAATTTGGAAGACACGCGCCGGAGAAAATCGGAGGGGTCCGGAGCAGAAAATGGGAGGTATCCGGAGCAGAAAATGGGAGGTATCCGGAGCAGAAAATGGGAGGTATCCGGAGCAGAAGATGGGGGGTATCCGGAGCAGAAGATGGGAGGTATCCGGAGCAGAAGATGGGAGGTCTCCGGAGCAGGCTGCGTATCGATTTGGCGCGTAGCCACGCTTGAGATTTTGAGACGTTCTTAAATGCGCGCTATCTAGACTATCTAGTGTTGTTGTGATAAAAGTATCGTCTAAATTATCCGTTTATTGCTATCTCTCTCGTACGTATGCTTACCAAGTCGATCGACTTTTCATCAGACGTTGCAGATCCTCACTATATCGTTTTTGGCTTGAAAGATAGGACAAGGCAAGAGATATGTTGACAAAAGTCTTGGAGGCAACTCCAAACGATGATGAAGTTTTGATAGATCTTGCTCAGTTTCTGGAAGGAGTTGATCCGCATGTTAGTTTACATCATCAATTACATTTTACGAGTTTTGACAACCGGCTCTTCTAGAAATCGCTCACTCTCTATGAAAATGCTTGTGATCTCATAAAAACGAGCGAAGATGGTTTACAAATTGATCCTCCAGCTGCTATGTTGCGTGCGCAAAATCCCGGCAATACTGACATGGCTATGCTTTGACGCGCAAATTTCACCGCATTTCACCTTCTGTGCAAGCACACTATATTTTGCGGAAAATCTACTCGACTGTATATCCCCCAATTTCGATCTACTTCTCGTTATCGTATCTTATTTTGATGCTTTTTCCTCTATATACTGTTCCGCACTACTTCCTATAAGTGCCGCCACATAGCAAAACATATTTAATTCTTGAAGCTTGGTTCCAACTTGTGGAAGCCAGCAATTTTTCGCTGCTGCTTTACGTCTGGGAAGTCCCCAGGAACACAGATATCTCGTATGTGACGGACCTCGCATAATAGAATGAATGGACAAAAAACCATTTGGAGCCCCTGGATATACTATTATCGACTCACAAAAGTATAGCGGGCCGGGCATTGCAGACGTTCGATGACATATCGTCCAGTCCACGATTGCTGCTACTCTTGCTCCGCGTCTTCTGCGGCGCGCATGCCTAACATGGGCTACATGCAGCAACATGGATGCAACAGCACGTTGACGTTTTGGCTGCTAGCTTTACCGTCGACATGCTGCTGCATGTTGCAACATGTTGATAATGCGCGCTGTAAGTCAAAGCAGAGCAGGGTGTCAGCAGCATCGAAGGGACAATATACCGTAAAATCTTCCGGCTAGAGGGCATGAAAAGTAATGCTTCAGTAAGGTTCAACAATGCTCGACGTCAAATGTCTGCAAAAATCCTCCCGCCACTCTTCTGGGGGTCGACTATACTTGTATGAAATGCTAGCCTTTTTTCGTATGATATGGTTCGAAAAGAAAAGACCTTTCTTTACGTTCTAGCTGGACGGCGGCAGCTTCGTGAATGGCGTGAGACTAATGCCAGACGAAGTGAAGAGGTCGTAGAGCTATGGGAGCATGTTGTTAGCCGTTCACCATCGTCTCTTGGTAATGAATTGTGGATAGTTTATGAACAGGTAAGTTAATCAAAATTCATGGTTTGCTTTCTAGTGGATCTTCTCTGTCCTTCTAATGAGCATTCATGATGATTCGAGTGCATGGTCAGCCGTTTAGAGCAAGATTGCGGTGAGGTTTTTTGCAGGTCTGTGTTGCTGCTTTGGACTGAGCTCGTTTGGATCTCGCAGGTGAATGCATCTCAGCTTTAAATCATCGTTTTCCTCGAGGTAATCGAGTACTCAGGCTGCAGGCCATGCATCATGAAGCAGCTGACCAGTACGTTTCTTCAAGTTTTTACCGTAATTTTTAATCCCTTTCTCTTGTTTATGCCTTATAGGGGCTTTCAATCTGTGTGTCACGGATGACGTGGTTCAGGTCCTCGTGAACCGCCTCGCTTGAGTCTCTCACGTGGTACGATACTGCACCCGGTACCGCAAAGGCCTTAGCGGATGCGGTATTGTACACGTGAAAGGCTCAAGCGAGGCGGTTCGCGAGAACCTGAACCACGTCGACTGTGACACTCAGATTAAAAGCCCCTGTACATCTAGATTTAATACTGCGCTGGCCCTATATGAAAGGCTTATCGAGGAAGATCCAACCAACAACGTGGGTTTGCTAGTTTTTAATCTTGTCTCTACACTTCTATGGTTTTTGTTTCAGTCATTTCGTAAACGGAAGGTGGCTGTTTTGTTAGCGCAAGGAATGAGATTGGAAGCTATACGTGAACTCAATGACTACCTCAAGGTCTTTGTTATCTTTGCCTCATTTCACCTTTGGCCCTGGCCAGACTTCGCTCAAAAGCGCCCAAAAGCGCCCAAAAGCGCCCAAAAGCGCCCAAAAGCGCTCAAAAGCGCCCAAAAGCGCCCAAAAGCGCGCAAAAGCGCCCAAATTTCTCTGGTGTCTCTTCACTTTCTCGTGTGAGGAGAGATGAGAGAGAGTGAGGAGAGGTTAGAGAAGTTTGGGCGCTTTTGCGCGCTTTTGAGCGCTTTTGGGCGCTTTTGGGCGCTTTTGGGCGCTTTTGCGCGCTTTTGAGCGAAGTCTGGCCAGGGCCTTTCAGTTCCATTTTGCGTTTTAGATATTTCTAAATGATTCGGAAGCTTGGCTTCAACTTAGCGAATTATTCCTAGTCGAAAGCGATTTTGCCAAAGCTGCGCATTGCTTGGAAGAATGTGTACTTGCTGCGGTAAGGGTTTCTCTAATATTTATCATTGTTTCTGAAATGTTTTGCTTTGGTTGTGATTTTAAGCCCCTAAATACGCTGTTACTTGCGGCGACTGGCTGACATACGTTATACTCAAGGAGGTCAAGAAAACATAGAACTAGCTCGTGCTTATTATGAACAGGCAGCCAAACTTAATCCTGCTGATCTGCGCTCTGTATGGCATCGTCCTGGTCAGTTGAAGTTTTCAACTTGTTTTCATTGGCTTTTCATCGCAATAATAGTCATATAAATCTTTTTGGTGCACTAATTATCTGGCAAGTCATATGAAAGGCTCTGGTGGCGATAGGAAGAGAGAGCTGATAACTGCTGGCGGAAACGCCATTGATAGGATTTTGATGAAATATGAAGAGGTTGGTTTTTTGAAGTTTATTTTTTTCTACATTGACCTCGTTTCATCTGGACCAGATCTTGTGTATGTCACACTAATTGTTTCATCCACTTCGTAAACAGCGTGTAACCACAGCTTCATATGCATAACGTGTATGGGGGGAAAAATTTTGTGTAGCAAATTGTTTTTGTGACAATCAAACCTGCTGACAAGAGGCTTGTCAGCCTTTAACTTATATGGATAGTGTACCCAGCGCTGTTCGTTTTCTGGATATTTCAGGAAATTAGAGGCAAAATCTGCTTCTGAATGGTTCTCTGTTATATGTTTATCAGTTCTTCTGCAGATCGAAGGTTGCGAAGAGAATCCGAACATAACTCTCGTAATGGATGCTGTGAAGCAAATGAGGACCCAGCTACCTACCTCCAAATGAATCAACTCAGTCATGTAGCTTTTATCGTGCCCCTATGTCGTGGACCCTAGCTTGATCTACATATGACAGCTAGTCATTTCGTCTGTTGATCTCATGTCCGTTGATCAGAACAATGCCGATTCATGGGTGCTTATCGGAAATCTGCACATATCTAAACATGATTGAGTAATGAGCTTTGTTTTGCTTCTGTCTAATCAATCTTCTCACGGATGGGGACCTGGTCAAAAGAAATTTGAACAAGTGTTGAATAAGATGGGTAAGGAAGATGCTTCATGGGTCTCACTTGGCAACGTCTGGATGGAGATGCTCTTTAGACTGGGCAGAAAAAAGATGACGACCGTGTAAGTACTGTACCATCGTACGATTGTTCTTCTGCGATCATAAAAACCCCCAAGCGTTTTTCTCCTTGATTTTTACGTCTTTCCTGAACAGTCATCATTACAGACCCAAGAAGGGAAGTACATGGATAGAGCTCTACAGATGTTTGGTAAAGCGTTGAAAATTGAGCCAAAAAACATCTGGGCAGCAAATAAAATAGGTACGTTTCGTATCGGAACAAATGACTAATTTGCTACTTCTTTTTCGATCAAAAACCGTATGTTTTGGTTTAGGCTCGTATTAGTATCGAAAGCAATGTGGCAAGATGGCCGTGACATCTTCGCTCAAGTTCGTGAAGCTACCTCGGAATTCGAAGATGTTTGGATGAATATAGCTCATGTATATATCGAACTTGGACAATATGTCCCTGCTTTGCAAATGTGAGTTTATGGCGTTCCTCGCTGTTTTGTTTCATGTTGCACAGAATGCTTTTTTGATCTTTTTGTCATTTTCTTACCATGTTAAAACCATATGTTTATACTGTGGTGTTACAAGGTTCTTTTTGCAACTAGGAAATTAGCTTTTCTTTGAATATTCTTATCTCTAATTCCTAGTATGGTTTTTGTAATATGAATTAACTGTTGTACGTATGCTGGAGATAGATAGATAGATTTTTCGAAAGTTTGAAAAATTTGAAATAAATGTCTTATCTCTTCGTTCTTTCTTCTATCTTCTATCCACAAACGCTAGGGGTGAGAGGGAGGGGGTAGAGTACGGGGTGAGGGTCGCGCTAAACTCCTACCCGGGGGGGGGGGTCCTATTCGGCTTATTTGGGTGGGGTTTAGAGACAAAATTGGGGTTTGAAGCTTAAAGGCAGCGTCCAGGCAAGTCTGGACCTATGGGTATTTTACATGGGAAGTACTTTTGGGGCCCTAACTAAGCCATTACCCAACCGGCAGCTCAAGTAGTGCTCTAACGCCTGAGATATTCTGCTCGAAACCGGACCCCGCGACCGTGTTTCGCATGGATTCATGGCGCAAAGCGTGGATCCTGGCGCGAAACTGCCATGAATCCATGCGAATACGTTCGCGGGGGTCTGTTTCGAGGGGAATATCTCAGCCATTGGAGCACTACCTGAGCTGCTGCTTCGGCAGTGCCTTAGTTAGGGCCCCAAAAGTACTTTCCATGTAAAAGCCCCGTAGGTCCAGATCTGCCTGGAAGCTGCCTTTAATTAGGGCTAATTACAGTATGCCGCGATCGGGGGGCTCCGGCGCACAAAATCGGGGGGCTCCGGAGCAGAAAATGGGGGGTATCCGGAGCAGAAGATGGGAGGTCTCCGGAGCAGAAAATGGGAGGGCTCCGCCGGACAAATGGGAGACCCACCGCTGGGGATACGCCGCGACCCTGCCACTTCTCCGGCGGAGGGGTCCGATCCGCTGTCTGAGTAGCTCATGTAAGTCGTTGCTGGAGCAAGTTCTGACCAAAGATAGCGCATTAACGACGAATTACGAAGAGTCGCTGTTGTGCCAAATCGCGCAGCGACCGGAATAGCGCGAGGTATGCCTTAAGCCTTAGGCCATAATGATAGTAAAGCCTCACCGAATCTCGGGGCTGACAAAACCACACTGACACAGTTCCAAGTATGTCGAGAAATCAACAAGAAAGGATCTTGGTAGGTGTGGATGAAAAGGACTTCCGCTCCAGTGTGCTTTCCGTGGATGCGCAAGATCGAAAAATGCGCCCCGAGATAAGCAGGCTTGTTTACAGCGAAGAGGAAATGATATGGTAACAAAAATAGCGCTTTTAGCGAGGCCAGCGCCGCGGAGTGCAGACACTCATCTACGCGCAAGCGTTACCGTACGCGCAGAGTGCAGTTCATGCTGCGCACAACATCGCGGGCCTTGTTTTTGTTATTGCACTCGTAATTTTTCCAGCAGCGAATTGCCATTTTTCTTGCTTCTAAGCTCATTTGCGACCTGTCTTGGTACCGAATATGTTTTTTCGCAGCAAAGGAAGGATGTAACGAATCTTTGAGCGTTTACCCTCACGACATCCTTCATTTCATCCAGGTCTTCTTCGGGTGGCTGATTCCGGATTTCATGACTCGTTAAATCGGTCGTGTTTCAATTGACATAATCGCATATCGTTTGGGTTCGAGTGAAACAGCGCCAATGCGCTGTTCATTCAAACGGTTCTCTCAACCTGTACGATATACAACTACACCTCTCATATTCACCTTTAGCTTTAGGGAAAAAGAACAGCAGCCGATCTTAAAATTCTCAATTGATATGATTTAGATTAGATCATTTTTGGAAGACCTCAAACCTCCATTTTGTCTTCCATTCGAGCAGAGATACTTTGAGAAATCTCAGAAAGCGCTGAACTAGAGTTTCAGACAGGCGAAGCTCAGAAATTTGGAAGCAGGACTGCGAATAAACTAAGCAAGACGCAGAAAGAGTAGCTAAAACAAGGACTATGCCGGCTTTGCGCGGCATGGTCCCTGCACGCTGCAGCCCACGATAGCGCTCGCGCGCAGGTGTTTAGCTGCACGACACTGCGCTGGCCCCGTTGCACGAATTGTAGGTGCGCAATAGGGAGTAGGAACTATGAGAGATTGTGAGAAAGTTATGCGAACTAAGTGCGTGGCAACCCTTTTTTGAAGTCAGGTGGCTTTTGAGCCACTTAGAGAACCATATGACTTTCTCTGAGGTGGCTTAGGCGACCAAGTCAGGTATTTTTTCTTCTCGCACATTTTTTCTTACACTTTCTACATGTCATCAATCTACATGCAAAACCCTACCGATTAATTTTTGACATCCTAATCCCTTCCTCCCTGCCTAGTTAGAGCCTTCCAAAAAATTTAACCGGCGGCAGTAATCCTGCTGCGCGCGGTAATGCACGCCGGCCACAGCATGCCGCTAATGCGGTGAATACAAACATCATTTCTTCTTTCATCTTGATGTTGTTTTTGTGATTTGTTCTACTCATCTGTATTTCCCACGTTTGTTTCATTTTATTTGCGTTGCGAAGTCAACGGGGACCTCGTTTCCAAAACGTTGCTAGAGCCACCTCGCGCCAAACATTGATGTTAATACCCCCTCCCCCTTTTGGACAAGTTTCAGTGAATTTCGAGGTTTACAATTCTCGGGACCCAAGTGAAATGGTCATTTTTGAGTATGCTTAACATTGTTACAAACGTGAACTAGCTACCTCTTTTTGCACTCAATGCGAATTATTAATCTTCCTTGCTTATTTTAGAATCCCGCTCTAAGTGACCGCTAAACTACAGAGAGGCAGCCAAATCTCAACCTCAGTTTTCGTAAGCAAAAGTCATGCCTTTGGCAATCATTACAGGACAACTGAGGATGATTCAGGCTCAAATCAAGTCTACGAAAACTAAGAAAAGGCTACTAAAGCCCGTATGCACGTACATCCCCGCTGGGGAGGGGAGGGGATCTGAGAGGGGATGCGTCATATTTCGCTACTTTACGTATCTTTCTTCTTCCTTTTCTATCTTGCTTATGAAGGTTATCATACCCTACTACCTGCGCATAATTGATGCCAGGTTACTGGCATAACTGATTAGATTTGTACTATTTTGTGTGATCTCCTGGGGATCCCCAGGGGATCATTCATCTTCCTGAGAAATGAATAAAAACGCCGCAAAATTGTACTGAGGATATACTACGGCACTGCTAAGCATGTTTAAAGTAAAAATTAGTGAAATTCCAGGATATTGAAATCTTCGGTAATCCCTGGCTTAAAAGCTAGGGATCATCGAAAAATTCACAATCTTCAGATTCCATTTTTTCTGTCGAAAACGTGCTTAGCAGTGCCGTAGTATATCCTCAGTACAATTTTGCGGCGTTTCCATTGATTTCTCAGGAAGATAAATGACTTTGAAAATGAGAGGTGATCCCCTGGGGATCACACAAAATAATACAAATCTAATCAGTTATACCAGTAACCTGGCATCAATTATGCGCAGGTAGTAGGGTGTGAGAACCTTCATAAGCAAGATAGAAAAGGAAGAAGAAAGATACGTAAAGTAGCAAGATATGGCGCATCCCCTCTCAGATCCCCTCCCCTCCCCAGCTGGGATGTACATGCATACGGGCCTAAATGACATGAATGATCCACCAATTTTCTCTCTACGACAAAAATATTCGGGTCCGTTGTTCTTTGCTTCATTTTCGAAACACTGGAGCCTAAGTGCAATTATAGCCGAAAGAGGAGAGCAGTACATGAGATTTAGTGTCTCAGCCGGGAATCAAAGGCTAGTGTAAAATATATCGCAATTTTACCTAAGTTGAAGCTACTCTCAAATGATTAGACTAGCGCATAGTGGTGAGAAAGTGTCACTCTGTCACCATAATGATGTGCTCCGAGACACAAAAACCACCGAGATACTTCGCACAAGGGAAGAAACTTTATCACATTGGCTTTCAACAGCTTAAACTAGAAAAGAAGCTATTATTCAGAACAGAGAGACGTCAACAATTTTGCAGTGAGTTGAAGTTGCTAACACTCATGAAATTATAGGGAGAATTTCTGAGATTTTTCAGCATGCTTAGAGGGAATGAAATGTGAGTTCATCATGGCCATTTTCATGGGTATCCTCTTTAAGTTTGTTTGAGTAGTGATTTTGTTTCGCGTTTCGTGGTTCTCCTTTCACACTATCGCCATAATGTCCAACCATTTTCTTTTTCATCATTTCACAAATCAGCTTGTTACCCTCATTCAGTCTTCTTTTGTGGAAATAATGTTGATAGCTTTCTTCGTGCAGAAGTTGTTCAGCTTGCTGTTCTCTTAGATTATGTGTAACTTCATGCTCGTCAAAAACTTCTTCTCTCATCAATGCTAAGGTATTTTCCTGCTGCTTGGATTGACCCATCGGATTTTTCTGTGCAGTTCTATTCATTCTCGTTTCTTTTTGCTCTCGAAAGACTTGGGTAACACAAGAATTACCTCTAACAAGAGGCAAAACAGATTTTTCGTTGTCTCCATCAAAACAGGAACGTTTGCTTGGCTGTCCATCTTGATCATCATCATTCATCAAATTGAACATTGTTCCTTCGTTATAGTTCATCACGACGGAATTCTGGTGCACATATCCATCACTTGTAGCCAGAAAATTCGGAAGAGGCTGTTGAAACTCTGGATGTGAGAGGAAATATTGCTGAGTTGAGACGGACGAGTCTGACGACGAACATGACTGTGCACTCTGAGTATCGTTCTTTTTTCCATTCCTACGTTGACGAGGCTTTTGCAGCTGAACTGTACCATCTTGCGGTGCATTCTGCGTCTCTATCGCGCAGAGATCACATCGTGACAAACGATATCGTCGCGCAATGGTGTCACGACGCATTGATGGAGGCCGCTTTCGTCCGTTTTTTCGAAAAAATAGATTGCACGCACTGAAAATGTTCTGATCATAATACGTGAAGAAAATGAGTCAGTGCTACATTAATGCACTATTCTTATCAAAGATTCTTGCTCCCTGACAAAAGTTAATGATTTTGATTTTGACGCAATGTTTTCCGGACAAGATCTTGAAACTTCTGAAGCAAGCGCTACAGATGCTCTTACTTGAAGTGGACTTCATCAATAAGATATATTTGAATCGAGATATTATGACCGTTTCAAGGCACCGTTCACTAAGTTGAGGGTCTTGAGCTTTTGGCAGCATATGATGGTAGGGCCTCCTATCAAGCCAATGCCCAAATCGCAGTGCAAATTGTGATTTGGAAGCGAGAAAATCGCTCAGGAATAACGAAGATGCACGAGGACCCCCATCCATGCCCGCCCATTTGTACGCGCCCATCCAATCACGTTCCGGAAAGCCGACCTGTGGGTTTTCCGGAATGGGGGTTTTCGGGGTTTTCGCGGACACTCGACTTCATATTCGAAATCACGGACATGAGAAGGCCCTGAAACGACAAAAACCTGGAAGACGAGAATCTGAGTGGACGGTGCCTTTAACGACCTAACATATCTGCTAAACGGTTAAAACAATGTTTGGGGCATTTTCCTGTTTTTGCATTGCCTAGTAAAGCTCTGTTTGGACGTGGGATTCTAACGTGAATCGCAGTAAGTGCGAATTGCTCCAAAATTGCATTCTCAAAAAAATGTACTGCACTTTTTTAACTATGCCAAAACGAGAAAGGAACAAAACCATTATCGAAAATGGGCTAATGTTCTAAACAAATGCCCGTAACTTTGTTCAGAAAACAGCTAAGCAAAGCTGAAAAGTAGATTCTCAGTTTTCAAACCAATCATTATTGCATATATCAGCCTCTTTGGGTTAGAATCTCCCTTTTCGGCATAGAGCGAATCTAGTGATTATCTTTACGCAATATTCGTTCGCGTCCATATAAGTCTCCATATTTTGAAGTTCTGCTAGATGTTCAAATCGCATTACTTCGCCTATTTACAGCTTTGGATTTCCACTATTTTCTATCATAAGGTTAGGCAAGAAAAGTTATGCGGCTGGACTAACTTCATAAATGCTGTCTAAAGATTTAGCAAAAACAGCTTGGAGTATTTGCGCCTCGCTGCTTTCATACATTTGATGGTGGCACACGAAAGCTCGTTGTTTCACTGCGTACAACTGATGCACTCTCTTACTTATTAGACACTCGCGACACTTGATCCACTTAATCCATTTCATCCACTTCGCTATTAGCCAATTTATTTTGAGTAAAGTGGATCAAGCGATTAAGTGGATTGAGCATGCCTATCTCAGAATTCCTTCATACTACGCCGAATCTGCACTAGCCTGCGGCGCACGCCGCTGCAGTCGCACTTAATGCTAATACCAGCGCATCTTCGCGGTTTATAGACACTTCATGTCTGCTTTGCACGTTCGCATTTTAAAGTACCGCTTAGAATTAGCGATCTTCTCTCTCTCTTGTTTGTCTTATCACTGGTCCAATGGTTCTTCATTTAGGTCAAATTTGGGTGCGTTCTAGATCTCACCACACTAGTCTCGCTTCAGTTCATAGTCAGTAACTCCAATGCTAATCCGTCTATTCTACTCGTGAGGTTATTAGATTTTCGCATATTTTCGCTGCGACTGCAGTCAGCGCACGCAGACTGCGGTAGACCGCGGCGTAATATGAAGGAACCCGGAGTTATAGGAGCCCGTGCGGCTCGGTCCCACGCGGCTCTTCGTCTCGGCTGTCGCGCTTCGACTGCGCCTCCGCGAGTGCGCTCTTCATTCGCTTTTCCATCCTTAATTACCCGGATTGGAGCTCTGACCTTTTCTCAGGTGTTCGAAAATGATCAGAGCAAAGCTCGCGAAAGGGGTGCAGAACCCAAGTAAGCGTACACGCGAGATCTGAGCGCTCGAGCCCCTATTACTCCCAGTGAGACAGAGAGAACCTTGGGTACCTTCTGGCCTATCCATGTGAGATGACTTGAAATTACGTCTTCAAACCCTGATTCAAATATATTTTCGCTAACTGCAAAGCCTCGGGGAAAGTAATGAACGTTTTTTGAAAGAGAGTTGCACTGTGCGGAAGGTCACTAAAGGATTTTGAGATTTTCTTATTTTTTCGTCTATTATACTCAAGAAATGCTTCGGGTCACTGAAGTTGCTCGGTAGCATGGAGTAGGCGATTTGGTTTATACAGGGTGGCGAGCAAGAGGAACGATAGCTTGTGGGTGTCAATAACTCGCGCATCTTTTAACGTCATTTTTGTCCACTAGCACGCAGAAATCTGTAGCATTTCCTCCTATTGCACTTTCATATGAATAGGAGAATGAGATAGATCCTGTTTGCTCAAAAATGAGATATGAACATAAATTTTAAATACCAAAAAAGGGTTTCAAAGGTGAAACTTCAAGTATTTCAAGTTTTTCTTGCAATAACATAAACTGTACTTATCAATGGGATCTGAGCAGAACTCATTCAGTAAAGCATTTTCTCCAATTCTACTCGAGCTTATAAGTCTGAAATCTGCGCATTTCAGGGCAAATATTGCACTGGCAGCAGCGGCTGGCAATTGCTATCTCGTTCCTCTTGCACCACACCCGTTTATACATCTCGTGTAAAAACATTATTTCCTCTCATTCGGGTACTACTCGAAGGATGAGAAATTGCTGATTATTGCAGGCTTATAATTACAGGCTTGGTTTCTAGATAAATTTTTGAACATAGGAAAAAGGGCAGGCTTCAACTTTGGCTGAGTATGCAAGTCATCTCTAGAATTAATGTATTATGCCTTGTTGGAATTGAAATTTCATTATCTGATTTGAATTTTTTTGAAAAAAATATTTTTTCTAAAATAAAATCCGAAACAAAGAACTGGAAAGTATTTAGAAAGTCGCACATAAAAAACATACTTGCATTCGCTTTTCCCATCTGCACTTCGTCTCCATGCACTCGTGTTTTTCGTACCACAATTAGAACATTCTATGTTTTCATGTGCTGCCGGCTACATGAAAGATTCACTTTTTGAAAACATAAGATACATGTTGACGTGACTGTAAATCCTGATATAAGACACATTGCGAAGTTTGACCGGAGTCAGCTATGACCGGAGCCTTGCAATGTCTGCAAAGCTAATCTACTCATTGGATTGCATATTCGTCAAAGGTGCTACAACGGCGCAGAAGCAAATGTGTCGTGACATAGATTGGCGAATAATTTCTGTAGACTTTTGAATTTGTATAATTTCGAAAGTTTTCTAGAATCTTGAGTTCCTCCTATTTTCACAATGACTCACAATGACACAATTTTATGTAACATCGTGCTCAGTATAGTTCACACGTCCGCCGCGACCATGTTCAACCGGTACGGACAAAGGAAGAGGTGGTTCCCTTGAATGTGTTCTATCTTCACAATTTCTACAGCACTAGATTTGGGGAGTAGCCGAGAACTGGCAAAACTTGTGGAGACGTTTGATGGGCTGAAGTCACACGGACGAAGCTTTGAATCAGCCAAACAGGCTTCTGATGAAGAAGAGAGCGTCGAAAAATAAGGATGCAGAAAAGGACCACGTAACAACCTGCATGATAGTACTCGATAGTTACATGCTCAAGGTCAATGATTACGAAACATGAAGATTACTCCGAAAGCTCTCTAGAATCTTCAAAGTTGTTCCCTATGTACGGTACGACAGGCAGGCGTACACAACAGTATGACTGATGACTTTATGAGCACACTCGAAATTGTCATTTTTTTAATTGATTTTTTTTCTCTGCTTCTAATTGTGTTTTTTCTCTCCTATAATTTTTTCAGACACATTTTCGCACTGTCTCTTTCATAGCAGCATGTCAAAAACGAGCGGTGAAGATTTTTTTTGAAAAATCAAAATTTTGTCGAAATGTTTTCTTTTTATGTGCACGCGTAGGATGTAATACGGAGAGGTTGCAAATAATTTTTGTAATTTTAATAAATGCCTGTGCGCCGACGTAGTGCACCATGTAGAGTGTGGACCCCGGCCAGCTTCCCATAGGTACCTGCGCGACGCATCTGCAACGCACGCCTTCAGCGCGCCTCCCGTCGATGGGATTCCTTGCTTTTCTCTCATTTTCTTGTTTTTGTTTCACCATATTCCCTCTATTTCAGGTGCAAACAATTCGCATAACCGTGCTCTACTAGGTCTGAGAGCTTCGGTCTTGAGTACTAGTCTTGTGTTTTTCCCTTTTTTCTGAGAGATTGAGTTTTGAGGTGTATTATCCTACTATAATAACGCGCTAAGGCCGTCTGTTTTTTTTGTGCGTCTGTGTGAAAATCTGTCTGTCACGAAATTCATAGAGGAAGCTGCAACTAAGCTATCGGGCTGCAATTTTGCATAACATACCGTACCAGCGTGTACCCAATATGCAGAAGGACGAGCCGGTTCGATGAGCGGGACCCTCAAAATTTGCGCGTCAAACGGGTCCACGCGCCTTTTAGCACGCAAAACTGGGTCGCTAATTCGACTTTTGCAAAGTTATGATTTGCCTGACAAATAACTCTGCGCGCCATGAATTTCAGCCCAAAAAGTGCTCAAAAAGTTTGCTTTTTTGCGAAAACAGCGCCAAAAAGCGATGAACGCGTAATAGTCGATTTGACAAGGTTTCATTTAAAGAAACTGAAAAGTTTTTTGCACTGAAATGTAGCCCAAAGTGACTATTATCCTAATGACGATTATCAAACTAAAATAAATTCAGTAATTCGTTCAAATTCGCATTTATTTCCTTGCAACAAAGTTTTTTTTTCTCAAAATTACCGATCTTACATGGAGATGCTCCATGAATGAACAGTTGTTTACAATTCATTTGTGATGCTCAGCATCGCATGATGGGTTTCAAAGCCATTCTCATGCGAACATGAGAATGGCATACGATAGGGAGCCAGTGCGAACCTCCGCGAAGCGGAGATGACGCACTGGTAAGAGAATATTATTCCAAAAGGTTTTTGTACTAAATAAGAGTCTCTCTCGACTTGATTTTTAGAGTGTAGACAGTGTATCAAGTCAAATTAAGCCTTTCGAGAAGCCGGTAGGGATTTGCTTACGGAAATATCCACAAATTTTGAGTTATTTTACCATTCTCGTTTCTAAGTTTACGAAGAGAAACGTTTTGAGAAGGCGGTTGTTCTTTTCTGCTCGTTTACTTATGCTTTCCCATCGGTGCAAGTCTGAAATTTGCAGTGATTGAATTTGAGGTACTGATGGAGGTTGCGTGCGTTTTATTCTTGTATAAGTTTCTTTCAAAGTGTGTTTACGGGTCTCTACTTCTCAATTCTCTTCTATGGTGCGTAGATGTGCTCTATTGCTCATAAGTGAGGTGAGAAGCATCAAGAAATGCACGCGCTGCGGTTGCGCCGCGGAGGTACTTATGGGAAACTGGCCGGGGTCCACACTATAGCTCATGTGAACGTGTGCGGATATAAGTGTGTTATCCCCCTATACTCGGTAAAAACTATATACCATACCCTGTCCGATTACCACATCGCCCGGTTTTCCTTGGAGGAATGCCAGCCCGTTGACAAAAACGTCCATAAAATGACCCCATCGGTAAAGTGGGTGTTTGCACGGGCCACGTATATGACAACCTGTGGGTGGGCCTCTGCACCCCGTCGTCCCTTACTCCTTGAACATAAAAATTTTCAAGTCTCCAAAATTTTTAAGAAATAAAAACAAAAGCGCAACAGAAATTATCGGACAAACTAATAAATTACAATGCAAGTACAATAAAGCTTACCGTTCTTTTTGGTTTTTCTTCCAGAACGTAACGTGCGTGATGGCACGGAGTACGCGAAATTTTTGCCTGAAATGATTTTGAGAAAGAACCAGGGGATTGAAATGAGGTACGGTTTGGCCTAAAACGGTTAATGCAGAATATACACCTCACGAAACCTTTGAAAATATTTTGCTCTCTTGCCCCAATTGATGGAGGGAAGCGAATGGGCAGCTTATATACAGGGTGTCCCAAAAAATGTATCGAACGTTTGATCGTTAATATCTCTCTTCCCAAGAAGTCTTTTGCCTTGCTTCAAGTACCGTTTTGTAGAGTGGCTTCAACTTAGATTTGCATTATAGAACAAATTACCCATCTTTCTTCATTACTGTAGGGTACGGTAGAAACTTGAAATATATGGTGTCAATGTGAAAAAGCTGCCATCTCAAAATTTTCAAAAAATGTGAAAACTTGTGTTTTGGGGGTTATTATGGACGCTGAGTTCAATACTCAACTATTCACAAGATTACGAAGCTTTCTAAACGGTGTAACGCACTTTTTAGGAACATTGAAAAAATGACCGCCACCTGTTACCTGGCATAACTCTTCAATGAAGCATCATAATAAATTGGGAACTCTACAGTTATAATCTGCAACTCTGGTTAGCCTAGTGTGAAAGTTTTCAGGCTGTTTTGTTTTCTTTTTGCTGCAAAATATGGCCTTTCATAACCCAAAACCCTGTTTCAAGTTTCTACCGTAATCCTACAGTAATGAAGAGAGATGAGTGATTCGTTCTAAAATGCAAATCTAAGTTGAAGCCAGTTCTACAAAACGGTACCTGAAGCAAGGGAAAAAGACTCCTTTAGAAGAGAGATATTAACGATCAAACGTTCGATACATTTTTTGGGACACCCTGTATTTTGGAGCGGCCCTCTCGCTTCAGAATTCATCTTCTGCAGCGGAAAAAGAGCATCTACTCAGGTAGGGGCCCTGCTACTACCTGAGCATCAAAATCGAATTCTTAATTTAAGTGAACAATACCCTCAAAGCAATTTTCTTCTATGAGTAAAATCAACTCGAGCAGACTCTAAATTAGAGGAACGCTCTCAAAGAGCCTTAGAGCTTGTTATACATTCTTCAAATACCGGATTCAAAAGGAAGGAAGCATATTTGCATCTTCACGGACAGATCTCAACTTGGCTTCGGGTTTTCTCGCGTAGCAGTCCAATGTTCACCAACTGTTGTTACTCTTTATTTGAAAAACTACTGACTTACATCGACATTTGATTTCTCACATGTCATATCAAATGCAAGAAGGATAAAGTTGACATATCGATGATGCTTTCTATGGGTTAATCTCTATTAGTCGTTTCATAGCTCATAACATTTTTATTTTTTGTTTTTGGTGAAGACATTGGATTACGGCAAAGTACCATGGAGAAAAATATGAAAATTAGCTATCGACATCACATCCTCGGCTCCGCACGTAAATCACCTGCTGGAGTTCTCCACCCAATCGTCGTGAGTGATGAGCAAAAACTGTGTGCGAGACTATGGTGCATATGCAAGGAAAGTTCTTGTCAAGAGTCAGTAATTTCCATTTGATAGAGGCTGAGCTTTCATATTCTGCATCTGCTGGTACTCATGTTGGGCTCATATTGTTCACAGCAAGTCGTACACTGCACATCGAGTAGATCAGAACAGGTGACCTCGACATTGAGGGAAACGTGTAGGTACTTAGCAACTAGCTGTGACGGGATTACTGGAGACCCCACTACTGTTGAGAGTTAGATAATCAAAGGCAGGGTTCAGGCAAATCTGGACATACAGTGCTGGACACAATTATAAAGCCACTCTTAAAATCGTCGTAATTGCGTTCTTGTCAATGAATCTGTCTGAAACTTTGCAGTATTGTGCGCATGTCAACCTTCCATGATCTCTCAAAACGGCTTCCAGTCTTGTTAAGTTTGAACGGAGAAAAACGAAGAAAGTTGAAAAAGCCCTTAATGAAAGCTGGACAAAATTATAAAGCCATCTGGTTTTTCTAAGGCCCCGGGCAGACTTCACGCGATTTGATCGTCGCGACTGAATCGCGAGGAGACAACTGTTACAACATCATTCCATGCAGATCAACTTGCATTCGGTTGTGATACTTTTCCAGACCGAAATTTTTGAATGTGAAATAAAAACGAATGGAAATCTTGGCGATTTGGTCGCGACGATTAAGTCGCGTGAAGTCTGACCGGGGCCTAATCACTATCGCATTCTTTGGCTCTCAAATTTTTTTGTACTCACATCCTAAAATTTGAAACATTTGCAACACCTACGGTCTGTCATTCCACTCAAATAGAAGCCATCACTGCATTTTTTTGCTTTCAAAAGCATCAAAAGTCAACCTGCTTTAACAAGAAGCTGGTTTGAGGAGTTTTCAAGCCCTTGTTTATTTCAAATGAAAGCAATAAAATCTACTGAGCATTTTCGATAGATGAGGAAGGAGCGCTTCCATATACTCTACGTAATCGCTGATATTGACGGACAGACTTCAACCTTAACATAGGTTTGTCAGCTTTCAAACCACAAAACTCAGTTTACAATGTCCATAAAATGCTGAACTTATTCATTCATATTCATTTATTTCATAAGATCAACCTATGCCAACAACAACAACAACAACAACAAAAATAGTATAAATAACAAACCAAGAACACACGCACAACACAAAAGTGAGGATCAACATTGTAAAACCGCGATAGTATCAACACTGCTAATGGGACTGTAGATAACTCTTTAAAACCGTCTTGAACTGAGATAGCTTTGGCGGAAACATACCTTTCCTAATTAGTCTATCCATGTCATAAACTGTACGAAAGTGAAAATGTTTCTCCGTATACCTAACCTTGCCCTTGGAATGACCAATTTCCTGTATCCTCCCCTAGTGATGGACACTCTAGTCGGAGGAAAGGTTTTGAAATCCAGGCCACACTTACCATATGCAATCTTATGCGCCATAATAAGGTCGAATTTACGTCTTCTGTAAGCAAGTGTGGAAAGTCTAAAGTTCTTATTGCGAATCGTCCCACTAGGTATCAGATTGTATTTAAAACCAATCTTACGTATCATAAGTTTCCTAGTGAAACTATTCTGAACTTTCTCAAGGTAGTTTTTGGTTTTGCGCATACTTGGGTTGTACACGACTGTACCATAACTTTGCAGTATTGTGCGCATGTCAACCTTCCATGATCTCTCAAAACGGCTTCCAGTCTTGTTGAGTTTGAACGGAGAAAAACGAAGAAAGTTGAAAAAGCCCTTAATGAAAGCTGGACAAAATTATAAAGCCGTCTGGTTTTTCTAATCACTATCGCATTCTTTGGCTCTCAAATTTTTTTGTACTTACATCCTAAAATATGAAACATTTGCAACACCTACGGTCTGTCATTCCACTCAAATAGAAGCCATCACTGCATTTTCTGCTTTCAAAAGCATCAAAAGTCAACCTGCTTTAACAAGAAGCTGGTTTGAGGAGTTTTCAAGCCCTTGTTTATTTCAAATGAAAGCAATAAAATCTACTGAGCATTTTCGATAGATGAGGTAAGGAGCGCTTCCATATACTCTGCGTAATCGCTGATATTGACGGACAGACTCCAACCTTAACATAGGTTTGTCAGCTTTCAAACCACAAAACTCAGTTTACAATGTCCATAAAATGCTGAACTTGATTTATTACATTGCCTACAAGGTATGCAGCTTTTGACCACAAAATTCGATTTTCAAGCAAAAGAAAATACTGTAATGTAGCCATTACGACAGCCGTACAACAGTGAACTTGAGTGCATGGCTAGGAAGAAATTTCGGGATTGAGCACTCTGGTTCAGCCGCGGTTGACATTCACTGAATGTTGAGTGGAGCACCCTGCACAATCAAAGCCAACTCAGATCAAGAGATAAAAAGGAGACGCGCAAAACTTCAAAATCTTAGCTAATCTCATTCATCAGGTGAAATATGACATGAAGGAGAGAGGGAAATTAGGAGATCTAGGGTTATGTCGAATCTTCTGCTCGCAGGGAATTTTCGTGAAAAGTTTTTCAAATCTAAAGCGCAATTGCGTTATTAGAGAAAATCTGGAAGTTGTTGCAAAAGCTGCATCACCATGTAGGCAATGTAATAAATCAAGTTCAGCATTTTATGAGCATTGCAAACTGAGTTTTCTGTCTTGAAAGCGTGACAAACCTATGCTAAGGTTGGAGTCTGTCCGTCAATATCAGCGATTACGCAGAGTTTATGAAAGCGCTCCTTACCTCATCTATTGAAAATGCTCAGTAGATTTTATTGCTATCATTTAAAGTAGACAAGGGCTCAAAAACTCCTCGAACCAGTTTCTTGTTATGGCAGAGTGACTTTTGATGCTTCGAAAACAAAAAATGCAGTGATCGCTTCTATTTGAGTAGGATGACAGGCCATAGGTGTTGCAAATGTTTCATGTTTTAGGATGTAAGTACAAAAAAATTTGAGAGCCAAAGAATGCGATAGTGATTAGAAAAACCAGATGGCTCTATAATTTTGTCCACCTTTCATTGAAGGCTTTTTCGAATTTCTTCGTTTTTCTCCGTTCCAACTTAGCACTGGAAGCCGTTTTGAGGGGTCATGGTAGGTTGACATGCGCACAACACAGCAAAGTTTCAGACAGATTCAGTGACAAGAACGAAAATTACGACGATTTCTAGAGTGGCTTTATAATTATGTCCAGCACTGTATAGGCTGTACCCACCAGCTCGGTTATGCTGCGACTGCGCCATGTGACGCGCGGAACTCTGCTATGTGTTCCTCGCAAGGCATATTATCGCGGGACCGATGCTGATACAGCCTATATGAGGTTCGCACTGGGAAACTAGTCTTGAGAGCCCAATTAAGACAATACCCAAACGGTAAGCACATGGCGCACACTCGCGGCTAAGATATTCGTCCCCAACGAGACCCCGCACAGTATGCGACGACTTCACGGGTTGCATGTGGAGACCCACATCCTCATACTGAGTCCCCGCGCAACATCCAAGCCGATCAAAGCGTTCGCTATACACGCGCCGAAGACAAGTGGGACGCTTCCATAGATTTAGGAGCGTACACTTTTTTGATGTAGACAATATGCATCTTTGCCTGAGTAAGACATGCCTTAAATCCATCCATTACGTCACCCCAAGGAGGTTCCCATGAAAAACGGGATACTACTTATATGACGATGAGCTAACCGTGGTGTTCTCGCCTTTCCGTAAATACTGACAAAGGTAGTGACGAGCCAGTTTCAAAGCAATCTAGACATCCTTTAGTAACGTTCTGCTGGCTCCGAACAATAAAACTTATGCCATTTTGGACTAGTACTGCGCGAATGATCCATTAGGGACATCAGATTCTGTTGGAAGCTTTGAATAAGTATTAATTTAGACTATTATCGATTTCTGTACCATGACCGCTTGCTTATGAGCCTTACGCGTGACCTGTGATGAGAACACAAAGCCAAAATTTATTTCAAAACATGTAAATTGTGTGCGCTGTAAAAAAATTACATCGGTGGAAGCGGAATGTCATTATACTCCCAAATTAGGGTGAGATGAATTGTTCAACACAGTAAGTAACCACAGACACTCATCGTAAGCTGCGTACATGGTACAGAGCTTGAAAACTCTTTACACTTGTTTCACGAAAAATAAAGAAAGCGGGACTTAGCACACTGGAATATTTGTGGATTTGTAAGGTACGGTAAATGAGTACATTATGTTGCGATACGTAGTAAATTAGATGTTTTCTCGATGTTATGAATGTAAATCACATTCGTAACAGCCGAAAACGCAGCTCACTAACCATTTCGCTTGTAATTGTCTTATGTGTATTTTTGTCTATCTTATTTATGTTTTTTGTCTATGTTTCCTACGTTCTTGGTGTCTGTGTTTTCTACGTTCATCTTATATGCCTACAACCAGTGTTAAGCACTGAGATTATCTTTTTAAGCAATTACGGTCATTACAGCTTCATTCCTTTTTTCGAAGGAGTTTACTTTTAATCTCATTTGTTCCTTACTGACAAGCTCTGAAAAAAGGTGAGTTAGCCAAAACAACGATTTCTTTTTCATTGAATAATGCTGAAAGCAAAAGTGCTTCAACAAGACTCCAAAAGCGTTCAAGAAAACTGTTTTCAACAGTGTTAACAGCTATCTAAGGTAACTTTTGAAAATGATTCTTCGGCTTCAACCTACTTTGGGTCGCGGGATGATAGTTTGCAGTTGTTGTAAAGGAGGGACGGAAGCCATTGTTATCGGTGGTGGTAGAAATGGAGGACTAACAGCCACGTAACTGAAAATCAAATTTTAGATATGGGGCGATTGTGCCTAATCACAAATTTGGCTTATTTCAAAATACTATTCTTTATTGCGATATTCTGCAGAAATGTGGCATATCACAATGTATGCATCTAATCAATGTCATACCTGCGCCCATGAGGAGGAGCCATATTGAGTTGTGGAAGCTGGCCATTGGTGGGACGAACTGAAATGTGACTTTATTTGATCTGCATCTTTATTTGTGACTGCATGCATTTTTTGATTTGAGCGCTGAAATTGACTATAAGTATCACGAAGGAACTATCAATTTGACAACAAGCACGACTTTTGCAAATCCTTCGCTGCAATGAAGACTGCGTCAGGAGGAGGTTCGCATTTGAGCATTTCTTCTTGTGCTTTTTCTTGAAAAGCGGGTATTTCATAAAGCTATTTCTTTATTTATCGGGTTATCAATGTGACACAGGCTCGTGCTGCACCAATTTCTGGATGCTCTTGAGCTAAAAGAATAGCTCATAAGCGATTAGCAAATCATTTTGTGGGCCCGGAGCTCAGTTGAACTGAGCTGATCTCCTCGTGAGTTGAGCTTCTGACCGCCCCTTCACCTGCTTTGAGAGCAAGTAGAAGTCAGAAGACAGTCCGTTTAAGTGCCGCAGTCACAACGTACTACAGTGTAATCTCAAGTCTTAAGTTAAAGTGACGAAAAAGTGCACAAGAACGGAAAATCAGACAAAAATCCCATAAGTTGCTCGTGAGTAACTCAAGGGTCCTTGGCCCCGTTCTCTTGCTATACAAGGACGCGCAAAACTGCACATTACCAGGGTCCAAAGAGGACAGGCTTGATGAACAGCTGGTCGCAGCCAAGAAAATAGGAGAATCAAAAGTGGGTTTTCTTTTCCACCTTTTTCGAAATTCTTTTCATCGTGGTAGGCGCCCAAATCAAATTGTTTTTTTTATTTATTTTTTGTTGGCTTCGACAATTTGATATTAGAAAATTAAATTATTAGTACCTTGCTTTGTCTCTCCGTCAGCTATTATCGACTCTCCAATTGTGGCGAGGTAGATTCGTGATATTCAACAAATTTCGTGGATAGTGTATGCTCAGCAGAGGGTAACCACAAAGAGGCGCTAGCGCAGCTCCACCTCGCCCCAGTTTAGGTACCGCTCAAAGGTAAGATTTTGATAGCGGTTATCACTTAATAGCCATTTTGTAATAGCGGCTGGTACAGGGCTCAGCACGAGCTGGCTAGATGAAAATGGAAAAAACGAAGTCCCCCTTGACTTTTGGGAATTTTTACGGAGTCCCCTTTGACCCTCAACCAAATTTCCTCTAAAAACTAAAAAATTCCCCAAAATTCCCCAAAAAACGAAACGTCGACTGAAAAAAACGTCGTCAAATCGCCAATTTTGCGTCTCTCTTCGGTCACAAAAATGAAACCCCCTTTGCTTTTTTACCCAAAAACGATATCCAGCTTGCTTGTAAGCCACCTGTGCCGAGCTCTGGGCTGTCAAGAATTTGCCCGGCGATGCAGCAGAAATCGTTCCACTGGCCGATCTCGGATTATGGCTGTGCGCGATGAATCTCAAACACTTATTCGTTTGACAAAGCCTCCCGAGTTCCTTATTCGAAAAGGTCGCGATTGATCCCGACAATACAATTCTAAGCATATCATTGCATGACGATCTTCTTGGAATTTGGTTGCGATAGTTTTCTACGCGATTAATCATGACTAACTATCACAACCGAAATACAAGAAAATCGGCATGCAATGAACTCGTAAAACTTATCTTGTAGCCATAAATCGCGTAAACTCTGTCCGAGGCCTAACATGTCGTACGTTCAACTTAGGCCCGCCTCAGCCGATTGCGCTGAAGTTTGATTACTATAACCATATACCTCGCTTTTCTCTGGAACACCGCGACCACAACTTTGAAGGCTTTGCTAAGACAGACTTTCCGCTTTGCTAGTCTTTGTTAACTAACAACACATGCTCGATTATCGACAACAATTTTACTTTATTTTTACACGTTTCAAATTTCGGAGTTCAAAGGAAGTGAATAAACTTTCCAAACGTTCTAACAATTTGTTGAGGTCAAAGCATCTGAAATTATTCTGCTATCCTGTTTGCATGTCGAGCAACGGTTTCGAGAACTTACAAGGAAAGGATACTTGGTGACCGCGGCCTTTTGAAATGAAACGTACAAACCATTGAATGCATCTTGAAGCGCTGATTCCAAGCTGTTTTCATTATCTGCTGTGCGCTCTTTCGAAGGAAGTTATGAACATTTTTTGTCATCAAAATTTGCATTTTTTTTAATGATGCAGGACTCAGCAATATCGTTAGAATGTTCGCTTACGCACTACAAAAGAGCGCACAGATAAAGTAAAGCTTCACGTTAAGATCAGGAAAACTGTCACCAGTACATCAAAGTTCAAAAAGCCTGGATACTGACGATTTTGACTGCCTAAAGCTCGAAATCAATATAAAAAAGTCCATAATCTCGTTTAGAGAGTCGCACAGCAGATAGTGAACATAGATTTAGAATCAGCGTTCCAAGACGCATCTAATAGTATACATCTCATTGCAAAAGGCCATGGCCATCGAGTATCCTTCCCTCGTAAGTCTTCGTCAATTGCAAATACAGTGGAGTGCTTAGTTTATCGCTTGTACAACGAGAAACTTTTCATGAATGAAGTCCCAATATTGAGCATTCTGGCTTTTCGCAAAGTTGGTCTTCCTCCCCCGTCTCAAAATGAGAAGTATTATTCGCCATCCTTAGATTACTGATCAAATATACCATGAATGTTTTTCCCAAGAAGCGCGCTGGCTGCATGAACAGGTAAGATCAATTTTTGAACGCTGAACTCAACCAATCATCTATTACTTGCTTGGAAAAAGGCCCTGGTATCGCAGCAGGTGATAGTCGGATGACGCTTCAGCCGAGCATTACGGAGTGTGCAAAACGGATTTTTAAATAAAGCTTCTGCAAATTCTGCGCGTCAATAATGTGAAAAGTCTGCCTTTTCGCAAACCTAAGCGATACAGGTCAATCTCTTTTTTTGCGGCGTATACTCCGGTTTTTTTCATTTTTTCAAACCAAACAGCGTATATGGTGATTGGTGCCATGGCGCACTAGCGCATACCAGACCAGCTCTTGCATTTTCATTCACTGTAACTATAAGAATAATGCAGACCTTCTTTTTTACAATACAATATAAATTTGGGAAAAATTGTGAACCACCTGGCTCGCCGATTGAAGGAGTTTGAAGTTGATCGGCGTCGGCAGACGCTATATATTCGCCATTAGCCTTTTCATCTAAAATCAATTCTTTTTTGAGTGAGCATTGAGAAATCAATAACATAGCAGAGTTTTTTTTTGATTCGCCAGGATTTTTTGCTTCATATCTAGAAACTTACACTTCAGTTGTGGAGCACATCCCTTTCCCAATATCAGTTTCACGCAGCAGCAAGACTGCGAAAGTGTGCACAACCATAACACTTTCGAAATTATTTGAAACCTTACATTTGAAATTGATGACTAGTTATTTTTACGCTGAATCAGGGCCCGGCACGCGTTGGTTTGGAGCATTTTTGGAAACAAAGTCTCCACAACTTCGCGAAAATTTACGAAGTCCCTCTTGACGTAAACATCAGTAGGGAAACCCTCATTCAATCAAATAACAATGAAAAAGCGAAAAAAGCGCATTTTGAGATACCTAATATAACGAAAAAAGGAAAAACATTCCGAGTTGATCAAAGGCTCTGTCTTGGGTAGGGACCATTTTGGTGCTCAGTCTGTGGCCTCGACAAGGCGATGCATTTTCGCCACGTAGTTCAAAGGACACCGCGTGTGATTGGAGCGCAATATCTATCAACGCATAGATTTACACCACTTTTGGCTCAAAAAAGAGAAGAGGCAATGGTTTGATTCGCCCTCTTCATGGTACATGACAAGCCAAATGGTGGAGCCAAATGAATGAGGTTACGCTGCTTATATTTCATACGTTTAACGACAAAGCTATAGCTTGTCAGCTTGGAGATACATCTAGTAAGCAGCAATCAGATTTCTTTGATGGTCGTGCGAATCGAGCAAAAGTGTGCCGAAAAATCAAGACATGTTCTATTTAACGCACAGAAGTAATGACTTAAGAAGCTCTGACACGTTCTGCATAAAGAAATGATTAGTGGGCGTACATCATTGTGTCCACAAAAGTTAGCATCATTCAAGGCTTACTGTCGCATATTGTGCGACTTCTTCACAGCCCGCGCCGTGCAACGGAGGGTCCCAAGACGTTAGCCTCGTGTCGCCCCGCCCACTCACAGCCGCCTATAAATGGCGCCAGCCTAGCACAAAATTCACTTTCGTCGCACGTGGCAACTTGTGAGCGCTCGGCTTCCAACGTCTCCATCAAATCGATCGAACAGCGCCTTCCCCAACTTCCGCTTACGTCAACATCTACCACGCCGGAGAACTGATCCCTGCGCCGATGAGGTACGTCGGTGGATGCCGCCTCAGGGGTTTTCCGATTCACTGGCCTCGGAATGTAACATCTGGTTGGTTGTACTCCGCCCTTGTGTTTGAGTATAGGGAGTTTATGCGGATAAATGGTGTGCATTTAGCATTTGCTTTACCGAGCGATGCGGTGACCCACAGCTTGACTGTGGCCCGGGAGTATTTCGTAACATCGTGCGTTTGTCTTATAATCGTGCCTAGATTGATCGATCAGTATGAAGGCTGGTACAATTTACGGTGCCTGAATTTTGAGCATAAGCCCCAAGTGTCGATAGTTGAGGGCAAGTATTAATTAGGTGTTGTAAAAATAGCTGGCCGTTGGTAAGAGCCTTTTAGTGTGCATGGCGTTGTAGAGTGGCAGGCCCATATAGCATTCTCACAAGTATCACCACCATTGTTACGTTTGACTTCTTTTGCGGAGGAGTCTCGACTCCTACCGCCGATGCAGGGGAGGCCTTATCACCATTGACATTAGGAGCTGGGGGTTCAATCCTCGGCACTTGCTTAAGGCCTAGGCATACCTCACACGATTTCAGTCGCTGCGCGATGCACTGCAACGACTCTTCATATCTGGTCGTAAACGTGCTTTATTTAGGCCAAACTTCATGCTTTTGCAACAACTCACAGAAGCTTTGTGTCTATGCAGTTGGGACCGGCG